GTGCATTTTTTGCTTTAGTTTTAGATGATTTAATAACCATTGATGTCAGCCCAACCCTTGGATTATAGATTATGTTGGACAATGTTTGTTCAGTGCCAGCTTTGTCCATTAGTTTTAATAATTCTGCAGAGATGCCATGAGTTCCCAGCATTCTTTGATTGTTCTATATTTTAAAGTTTTGCTTATTTATGTTTTTCATTTGACAGTATTTTTCTACTAGCTCTAACATTTTATCTTGCATCGATTTCAGTTTGATTTTTTTTCTGCTGGAAACTTGTATCAGTGATTCACTAACCCAGGGATGTCAAACTCAATTTCATGGAGGGCCGCATCAGCATTGCAGTTGCCCTGGGGGGGGGATGGGTGTGGCCAGGGGGTGCGGCCTATGGGTGGGCATGGATGGAGTGGGTGTGGCCTATGGGGTGGGCGTGGCCAGCTCTACATCGTTCACGTCAAGGGTGCCTGTGGGGGCCTGGGCAGGAGTGGGACAGATCTGAGGGTCTCTGGCAGAAGGGGGTGGGACCGGGGCAAGTGCCAAGGCATGGTCCACTGGAGGAGCCTCACTGTTCCTCTCAGGCCATGTGGGGAGAGTGGCTGGATGGTGGCACAGGCTGCAGGAGCCCCGGGCAGCAGAGGTCAAACGCCCAGCCTGGCCCTTGAGCACCCACAGCACCAAGCCCAGCCCCACTTCCCCAAGGGAGCGCCCAGCTGCTCTTGCCTCCTCCTCAAGGCTGCTGCTGCTATGCTTGCTGTCCTTAGCCAGGTTGCCCATTCCATCTCCACGGGAGGAGACCCAGCGTTGTATCCAAAGCTTCCTTAGCAATAGGATGAGAGACCCCCAGGATAGGCCAGGAGGAGGGGGCAAGGGGATGGTGAAAGGGCATCAGGGCAGGACTAAGGCAGGACTTCTCTCAGACCCTCCCTCTCCTTCTTTCCTTCCTTTGTACAGAGTGGTGGGAAAATATTTGAGATGAGGGAGGGAGAAAAACAGGCAAGAAAGGCAGCTGGGAAGGTGTCACCCTTCGTGAGGAATGAAGAAGTGCACCATTGCCTGGAAGTGGCCAGCACATGGCCCTCACCTACTTCACATATCTGGCTTGGTGGGCTCTGGCGTGAGAGTCAACATTACTTACACAAGCCCCCAGCCTGTCCGGTTTTGGCAGGCAGTAAGGGGCTCTCCTTACAGTGCCGAGAGACTGAGCCAGGCAGCATGAATCTGAAAAGAAGCGTGATGCCGCCCAGCCCCCAGCCTGCCCATTTTCAGCAGGCAGCGGGGCGCTTTCCTCACAGCGCCAAGAGGCTGAACCGGGCAGTGCAAACCCCGAAAGAAGCACGATATGGCTAAGCCCCCAGGCTGCCCGATTTCGGCAGGCAGCGGGGCGCCAAGAGCTGAGCCGGGCGGCGCGAATCTGATGAGAAGTGCAATGCTGCCTAGCCCCCAGCCTGCCCAGTTTCAGCAGGCAGCAAGGTGCAAAGCTGGTGAGCTTCGCACTGCCTGGCTCAGCCTCTCGGCGCTGTGAGGAGAGCGCCCCTCTGCCTGCCGAGACCCTTCCCCCAGAGCCCATCAAGCCAGATATGTGAAGTAGGCGAGGCACTTCCAGGCGATGGTGCATTTCTTCCTTCCTCACAAAGGGTGACACCTCCCTAGCATGCACCAGGGGGTGGGGCTGACACGGCAGGGGGCTGGTTCCTCGCTGTTTCCAGACGGCCTTGTGGAGCTAAGACTGAATGCGTTTCAGCATAGATGGCCACCACAAAATTGTTCATTGGCTCCTGGCCGGCCTGGGCCAGGGCCAAGGCAGCGGGGGCCGTTCCCTCACCATTTCCAGGATGGCTTTGCGGGCCACATGAAACCACTTCGTGGGCCGCCTCCGGCCCCCGGGCCTTGTGTTTGACGTGTCTACACTAACCATTTCTGGCTTTCATTCGTATCATTTATCCACTGGTTTGATTTTCCTTCTGTGGTCATTCCTGGATCATCCTGCAGCTTGTTCTTATTGGTTCTGGTGTTTCTGTGTGGTGTCTGAATCTGCATCTTATGTCGGTTGTCTCGTGGCTAGAACCTAGAAGGACCAAGGGAACATAGAACCAAGCTCACGAGTTTGTCTTTACCCTCCATACATGATTTCTAACATTTATGTCAGTAAAAATATATTTGATTTCTGACAATGCATTTTAACATACCTGCAGGTGATGCCCAGGAACTGTCTTCTAGAGATGCTACACGTTATGACGTCAGGATGTGATCCCATTTATGGATTGCTTTTCATACTGATTATTTTCTTACAGTATACTCTCTTATGATTTTTTTTTCTTCCTACTGTTTTCCCACAATTTCAGGCTCAGTTCCCCCCCCCACCCGGATTTATTGGTTGCATTAGAAATTGACTGACTTCTTTGTGGGCTGAATCTGACATTCTGAACTGAGAGAGCAACTGGCCCAAAGTCACCAGCTTTCATGCCAAGGCAGGACTAGAATTCACAGTCTCCTGGTTCCTAGCTTGGTGCCTTAACCATTACTGTTATTTCTTATTCTTTCAGGTGCTGTCCAGTACATTTCCCTTATTCCTAGGGCATCAATTTTCCCATCTGTCTCGCCCACCCTACAGACCGTCCTGCAGTGTTAGCACAGACTCAGGGATTCTTTGCCCCTCTGACCGTCTCTGCCTGCATCAATGCAGCCATTTTATTAATGTATCAATAACATTCCAGAGATGCCTTCTGACCCAAAAGTCTCTGTTGTGCCTTTCTCCCATCAGACAAATCCACCCCCTTGAAAAGATGGGGATGAAAGTGAAACGGGAAGAGCCTGGTAGGAGGAGGTTAATGGCTCCCGCAGAGGCCACCCAGCTGCCCCACAGTCAGGTTCCCAAGTAGCAAAAGGTGAAGGGGAGCAAAGCCCCCACCAGTTTTCCTCCCCAGCAATGGAGTCTCAAGACAGCCAACAAGGCTATCCTGAGAGGTAGCTGGGCGGAGGATCCCGACTCCTCTGGCACCCATTTCTGGGGGCCACTGATAAATCCTTTGCCCTTCAAATATTGGAAGGTGTATGAAATCCTTCCTTCCTTCCTTCCATGTGTCCTGGATCTCCTCTCAGCTCAAACCCCAGAGATTTCAGAGCCGAGCTTTGAAATTCCTTCCTTCCTTCCTTCCTTCCTTCCTTCCTTCCTTCCTTCCTTCCTTCCTTCCTTCCTTCCTTCCCTCTCTCCCTCCATTCCTTCCTTATTTATTTATTTATTTATTTATTTATTTATTTATTTACAAATATTTATATGCCGCCCAATCGCAAAGGACTCAGGGCGGCATACAAAGTTAAAAACAGTCATAAAACAATAAAATAAAATAATCCAGTCATACTGCGAGTCCGATCATATCCCCCCCCCCCCCGGGGACATCAGCCCCAGGCCTGCCGGAACAGGAGAGTTTTAATGGCTTTCTTAAAGGCCAGCAGGGTGGGAGTAGTTCGAACCTCGGGGGGAAGTTGATTCCACCAGGTTGGAGCCACCACAGAAAAGGCCCTTCCCCGAGGGCCCGCCAGCCGACATTGTCTGGCCGACGGGACCTGAAGGAGGCCCAATCTATGGGACCTCACCGGTCTCTGGGAACTGTGCGGCAGTATGCGGTCCTGTAAGTAACCTGGCCCTGTGCCATGAAGGGCTTTAAAGGTGATAACCAACACCTTGAATTGCGTCCGGAGACCCACAGGAAGCCAGTGCAGCTCGCGGAGGATAGGGGACACGTGGGCGTACCTTGGCGCGCCCACAATCGCTCTCTCGGCTGCATTCTGAACCAACTGCAGCCTCCGAACGCCCTTCAAGGGTAGCCCCATGTAGAGCGCGTTACAGTAGCCTTTCTCCCTTCCCTTCCCTTCCCTTCTCCTCTCCTGTCCATCCCCTTCTCTCTCTGCCTCCCTCCCTCCCTTCCTGGAAGATCATAAATGTCTCTCAGAAAAAGGATGGATGGAAACTCTTTTTGAGAAGGAAACCTGCTCTCCCTCCCCCTCCACTCTTCTTGGCCTCAGTGTCCACCATCCTTCCTTCTGCCCATCTCATCCATCCCTCTGGTTGAGCCTCTCCCAGGAACTCCCCCTTTCACCTGGGGAGGGGCCTGGAGCCAGTGAGAGTCGTGCCCCCCATTGAAGTCAGAACAGTTGGATTTCCTTAAAGGAAACAAGGTGTCCCCCCTCCCCTGCCCAGGATCAGGGTCATCCTTCTGTGGGACACACCACCCAGCCAGGGAGAGAAGTGGGAGCAGCCCCTCACTCGCCGTGTCCTTCTCTCCTATCAGCCCAACCGGCTGAGCTGAGTTTGGAGCCCCCCCCTCCGGTAAATGGACAAAAGCAGGAGGAAGACTGACAGGACTCTGGTGCTGCCTTCCAGGTGTGAACAGAAGGCCCTGATGACAAATCCTGGCTAAATCCTCGGGCAGGCTAGAGGAATATGTCTCAGCTGGACTTCAGCTCTCAGCGTTCCTCAGCCAGCATTCCAGGGAATTGTGAGAATTGGTGTCCAAGCTCCAAGGTTGAGAAATGCAGCACTAGCCCACCCGTGTCCAGTTCCAGTTTGTATTTTCAGAGTTTCTACGTGAACCTGTGGCCAGAGATCCCTCTTGGGCCGAGTGGCCAGGTGCTCGCATACATTGCCCTGCAGCTGGTGGCTAGGGAGGGTTTGGGGGCATTACCAACCAACTTCTGTGGTGAGGCAAGCCATGGTTTCTGGGTGATGCTAATGATGGGGGTTGTAGTCCAAGTTCAGTGCCACTTTTTAGCCAGATATCTGCCGGCTGTTTGTGGGCCCGGCCCTGCTCTTGGCATGAAAGCCACGGCATCCTCAGTGGGAACAGCCTCAGGCAGGAAGGCCGTCCGAGTGAGGGACGGTGGTCACTTCCTTCATAGGTGAAACGAAGCATCCCAGGCCTCACTTCAGGTGTCTTTTGATAAGGAACAGGTTGTAAATTCTGACCTTGAACTTTCTCCTTTCTCTCTTTCTTTTTTCAATCAGGTCATCTCAGCTGTTTCCAGACTTTCTCACCACAGCATCGCTCAGAACAAGGGCATCAGGTAAAACACCGCCCTCTTACTCCACTTCCAGATTCCTTTTTAATAAAAAGCTACTTTTTCGCAACAGATAAATGAATACTTTGCTTTAAACAGAGGCTTATTTGAGGATTGCAGATATCTCCTTCAAAATGTAAAACAACTGAATTATCCAAGTGTGAAAATCATGAATGGTGAAGTTGCTGGACCAAGGGTGATTTTGGTCCGCCCCCCCTCCTCTCAGCCCTATATAGTATGAGTCCCAAAAACATTTATGACCCAACCCATGCTGGACCACCATGGAAAATTACAGCCCATTCCTGCATGGATCATGATTTGGGATAACAAAACTATTAATATGTCATTATTAATAATGCAGAGAGATGATATTTCATTTAGATGTTACAAAATCAATTTTCCATTGTACGCCTCAATTTCTGGGTGATCTATGACTTCCTTAACCCACAGCTCCCATTTCATTACATGGCTTCTCTGTGCTGCTCTGTTTGGGATCTCTGCTCTGCAGATGCCCACGAGCCCCCCCCCCCCAGGGCACCCAGAGTTTCCTGCTCCCTTCTAAGGGCTTGTTGGGTTTTTTGGCAGCTGGTTAGCCCTGGGGGCTCAACTTTGCAAGCCTTGGCGTAGATTCACTTCCACCAGTGAATTGTGAGTGTAGGCAGAGTCTGAGTGAGGCCACTGAGAAATAGGATTAAGACCTGCTTAGAGAATGGAAACTTCTTAATGAGAAAAATAAACACCCCCAAGTGGCCACACAAGGCTGAGCATCTGCAGCGGGAAAGCAGTGCAGAGACTTACTGGAAAGGGACTCGGTTGGCTGCCTCGGAGGAGGCGTTTATTGCAAGGGAGCCTGAAAGGAACTTAAGAACGGTGTGTGTGTGTGTGTGTGTGTGTGTGTGTGTGTGTGTGTGTGTGTGTATGTGTGGGGAGCCCAAAGCAGGTGTGGCAGTGTCTTCTCGTCCTTGAAGAGGGGGTGGGCTATTCTCTGTAGTGCCTGAGAGGAGGACCTGCCGGAGGAGGACCTCCTAAGCTCCTCTGCAGTGGCCAGCTGGCTCCTGGGGTCGTGGGGCTCCCTCGATGGTGGGGATTCTTGCCCAGGTGGACCAGAAGGCCTCCCAGATCCCTTCCAACTCTATGATTCAAGTCTGCTCTTGCAGGAGAGGTGGAGAGGATATAAGGTTATGTTTCTAAAAAGCTTAGGTCAGTGGTTCTCAACCTTTTTAATGCCGCGACCCCCAACCGGTCGTAAGTCAAGGACTACTTAACTGGTGCAGCACCGTTTGCAGAATGGGACTTTTGGCGGGCTCAGCAGGGCAGAGACAGCCTGGACAATTCCTATTGGCTTTTGAAAGCCAGTAGAATTAGACTCTATTCAAGAGAGTCTCTTCTGTTGGCTTTCAAAAGCCAATAGAATAAAAGGGAGAAGCACAGCTAAGGAAAAGGGGAAAAAAATGGTGGACTGCGTTGTTGGGTGACCCCTGTGAAATGGTCGTTCGACCCCAAATGGGGTCCTGACCCACAGGTTGAGAACCACTGGGTTACATCATATAGCAACTGGACCAAAGTTTATTAAAACTGAGACGTTACATTACTCATCCAATAACTTCTTGGGTAGGCAGAGAGGCAGAGAGTCAAAGAGTCGTTGGAATGACCGACTTGCCATAGACTGCAGGTGGTTTCTCCCCAAAATGAAAAGCAACATGTAAATGAAGATTCAGTCATCTGGTCCAAAAGTAATACGCTTTAATAAATGTTGGTCCCGTTGCCATGATTTCACCTTTTTAGATACTTTGGGCCTGGATGATTGATACTTCATTTACATAAGGTTATGTTCTCTACAGACAATAGGTTAAGTTTCATAGATCAGCCCTAAACATCCATTTCTAACCTCAGTCCCTTAACATGTCAGTTGTCAGGCACAGACCCAGGGTTCAAAATTACTTCTTTGTTGCTCAGCCTATGCAAAGGAATCTTCTTAAACTAACAGTCAAATTAGATAAGGTTCAAAGCACTCAAGGGGGTGGTGGACTTTGTTCTCTTGTGACTGCGTAGTGATTCTAAGCTGATTCCTCTCTTGACTCCTTCTCCTGCCTCTGCCAGTCTGTCTCCTGCACAATGGAACCTCTCCAGGAAGTTGCTCCTTGGCTGCTTCTGTGCAGGAGAGTTCTCAAGGAGCCATCCTGAGAAAGACCCCCCAGGAGCTCTTGCTCCTTACCCAGACAAGGATGCCCCTCCCTTTAGGGACGCCCGTGGTAGGAGTCCCTTGGAGCCAAGCCTGAAGCTCCCCAGTGTGGGAGGCCTATGTGCATGCAGGAAGACAGGAGGAAGGTTTATTTATTTATTTATTTATTTTATTTATATGCCGCCCAATCCCAAAGGACTCAGGGCGGCGTACAAAGTTAAAAACAGTCGTAAAACAGTAAAATAATCCAGTCATACCGCGAGTCCGATCATATCCCGGCCCCCCGGGGACATCAGCCCCAGGCCTGCCGGAACAGGAGAGTTTTAACGGCTTTCTTAAAGGCCGGCAGGGTGGGAGTAGTTCGAACCTCGGGGAGAAGTTGATTCCACCAGGTCGGAGCCACCACAGAAAAGGCCCTTCCCCGAGGGCCCGCCAGCCGACATTGTCTGGCCGACGGGACCTGAAGGAGGCCCAATCTGTGGGACCTCACCGGTCTCTGGGACCTGTACGGCAGTATGCGGTCCTGTAAGTAACCTGGCCCTGTGCCATGAAGGGCTTTAACGGTGATAACCAACACCTTGAATTGCGTCTGGAGACCCACAGGAAGCCAGTGCAGCTCGCGGAGGATAGGGGACACGTGGGCATACCTTGGCGCGCCCACAATCGCTCTCGCGGCTGCGTTCTGAACCAACTGCAGCCTCCGAACGCTCTTCAAGGGTAGCCCCATGTAGAGCGCGTTACAGTAATCCAGTCTTGAGGTGACAAGGGCATGAGTGCCGGTTGGGTTCTCAGAGAAGAGGCAGGAGGGGGCAGATGTGAATCTGGGGAGGGGGATCAGCAGCAACAGCCGCAATTGCTTCTCTCCCCCTCCCACTCCCAAGGCATGTTTTTAAGTGGCACAATGAAGCTCTGTGTAAGGCAGAGCAAGGGCAAATGACTCAGACCTCAGGTTCACCCAAAGGTTTTAGGGTTTTTTTTTGTTTGTTTTTTTACTAATTAAGAGGTTTGGTACTGATGGGTTGGGCTTTTATTGGAGCTGAGTGGCTGTTTTTTAAAATCCAGCATAGTTTGGCTTAGCAATGATCTTGAGGACCAGCAGCTCAGAGAGGCAGGGCTTTGCTGGCACTTGCAAGAAGGTTGGTTCTGCAGGGGGATGGGGGCAGCTGTCCTGAGGGCCCCTTGGCTGCTTTGGAGCTTTATCTGAAAGTCAACATGTGCTTCAGTAGGACTCACAACTCTTCCTGCAGAAAGGGGGGGGCGAAACTATCATGCAGCCTGCAACAGAGGCCTGGGGGGGGGGGCCTTGATCTGCCTGGCTATCCAGTGGGTGGCCTCTGCTGCAGCCAGACTGGCCCAGAGCAAGGGAGTGAGGGGCTTCCCAGCAAAGGTTGCTAGGATACATTCATCCCTACCAGGGGTGGTCTTCAGGACTAAGCATTGAGAGAGAGAGAGGCCGAACCACCTGCTATGTCATCCATTTCCACAATAAAGATGTGAATAGGGCTGAACAATGTCTTCTGCCGTATCAGCCAAAAGCTGAAGCATCTGCACAGCTCAGGATGCTGCCCACTCGGGATTTTACAGAGACCAGGACTCCAAAGCCCCCCTTGAACCAAGGAGTCCGGCTCTGCCCCATCCAGGATCCAAGCAAAGCAGCAGCAGCAGATGCCCAGCCTCCACTCTCTCCCTGAGGGAAGGTTTTGGTGGCCAGCAAGAAGCCGAGAAAAGCTGCTTCTTGTTGGAAGCTGGAACAGAGTCTGCATATTTTTACATCTTTATTTGTCCTCATTGGCATGGAAGGAAAGTGCGTCTTTGCTTGAACAGCACAGAAGCGGAACCCACATCCAGAGGCATCTTGAGCACTTGCGCCATCGTCTCTGGGGGGGGGGGAGGCTGGATGCCTTTCTCCATCAGATAGCCTCTTTGCAGGGACTTCAGTTGGTTGGTTGGCTGCCTGTTAAGTGCCCACGTCCAGCCAGGGAGGGGCCAGGGCACCAAGGGTGAAAGCCAAAAAGGCCAGGGACACAATCTGCCAAAGGAAGCCCCCCCTCCCTCGTACCAGTGCGACTGACTCACTGCTCCTGTTTCCTCCAGGCCCTTCCCTTCAGAGGAGACCACTGACAACGAGGACGATGTCTACCGCAGTTTGGAAGAACTGGCGGAGTAAGTCTCCTTGCGAGAGTGACCTGGAGGCCCTGGGGCCAAGATAGCTGCTGCACCAGCCATGTCCCCACCGGATTAGGGATTTGGCCCCAGGTGTCCTTCTGCAAAGTGTTGTGTTTTCTCACCGAGATCAGCCCCTCTCCTGGAAGGCCTCTCTCCAGCGCTGTGGCAGTCCTCAGAGGTCCCTGGGTGGGGGGGTGTCCCCAGGGCCACCTGACAGTCCCGGGCAGCACAGAACGGGGCAGAGAGGCTGCCATGGCCCCTCCCTCCCCAGGTCAGCTTGGCTCTCATTCGGTGGCTGGAAAAGGTGCTGGGCGAGTGGGACTGAGCAAGGGGCCTGCATGGCAGTGGACGCCAGCGGCCTCGGGGGGGGGGGGCTTGCTTGGTCAGCAGCTGGGGCTGTTTTTAGTGGTTGCGCTGTGATGTCCATCTGGAAGACAGTTTAACAGGCAATATTATAAAAGGTACATTATATAAAAGGATATATGCATAATTTATCAGTGAGTTTTTATTTAAGATTTAGATTCTGCTACTTCTGTACTTCAAGGAGATTTATTTCGCATCAATATTCAATAGGGGGTCAACCCCTCCATCCTTTAAAAAATTAGTGCAGATTACTTTGAGGTGACAACCCCCTTTGTCATGCAGCCACTGGACTTTGCCGCACCCCTTTTCTGCCCAAAATACATGTTTGAGATTTGCATCCTGGTTAATCTTTCATTGTCGCGGATGTGCATTTAAAAGTGGCTTGTTCTCTTACTTTGTTGTTGTTCTAGTGAGAGAATGGCTATAAATCAAGACAGCACCAAGAAAGAAAAATCTAAGATCTATTAAATATTAACAACAAATTAATGATAAATCATAGAAAAACAGCGGAAACATAATACCAGAAGAACATAAGTTTAAACCACAATAAGGGAAGAGTGCTGAGTAAAAGGTAGATCAGAAACTAGTCAAGGCATAATCAGTGCTAAAAGCAGGCAGATTAATTCTTAAATTACGTCTTTCCCATCATAAGAAACTCTGACGTTCTAAATATGAACCTAAAGGGGAATAAGATGGAACCTGCCTCTTGGGTCCCAGGTTGGCGTTAAAGTCTCAGGATTATTTATTTATTTTACTTATTTATTTATGAGACTTATCTACCGCTTTAAGTGCAAGCACTCTCTAAGCGGTGTACACCAGTAAGCAATGTATATATATATATTTACATTGCCCCCAACCATCTGGCTCCTCATTTGACCTACCCCGGAAGGATGGAAGGCTGAGTCCACCTTGAGCCGGTGAGATTTGAACCGCTGACCTGCTGAACACAGTCAGCTAAAGTGGCCTGCAGTACTTGCACTCTAACTGCTGCACCACCTCGGCTCAATTATAGAAAACGGAAGGGAGAACCCTGGAGGCTGCACAGCTGCGTGGCCGCCATTTTCTTTGACCAAAGCCAGAGGTGGGAAGGGTCCAGTCTCTGGCCTTGACAGCCTGGCTGGAGCAGCTCCTTTCTGAGACCCCTGATCTCCCCCCACCCCCAGTTCCCGTCAGGGCCTGAAACCTCTGCCTTTTATTCTAGCGAGCATGATTTGGGAGAGGACATTTACGATTGTGTCCCGTGTGAAGATGAAGGAGACGACATCTACGAAGACATCATCAAAGTGGAGGTGCAGCAGCCCATGGTGAGGAGCCTGGCTGAAGGGGCGAGGGAAGAGTCGGACTCCTTCAGCCCCTTTGGAAGTTGGGAGCGGGCTGGGCTGGGGAGGTCGTCCTTGGACCCCCGTCCAAGAGCTCCCTTGGTTGTCAGAGTTCCTGCTCAGTGCCCTCTCCCCATCTTCTGATCCACCCTTAGTGCTGAAGGTGCCTCCAAGGAGGAGGAATCCCTGAGGCAGAGGAAAAATGTCCTAAGAAGCTGAATTTGGGAAGAATGCATCAAACGGGAAGCAGATCACAGGCTGCTGCCTTGATGCATCGTCTGCCTTCCAGTAGGGGAGGCTACGGGGACAATCGGTGGCTAAGCTAACCAAATTATTTGCAAGAGGAGTAAGATGCGTTTGTTTCGTACCCCTGGGGTCTCCGATCTGCCAAGAATTAAAGAGATCTAAGGCTCTTGTTGCAAAGCTATCTAAAACTGGGGGCAAGAACGAACTTTCTTGTCTTCGTGGCTCTGGAATAAGCATGAGAATCGGCAGAAGAGGGCTTAGAGAAGGAGCCCTGAAAGCCAGAGGTGCCTATCGGCCACAAACGCAGCCTTCCCTCCTTCGGCCCACTGTAGGGAATTCGTGCTCTGAAAGTTGGGGGAGAAACAGACCCACCATGTCAGATGAACCCAGACGGTGCTCCCTGTCAGCTCCTGGGTGGATTGCTTCTCTTTCTGAGCACGGGGGGGGGGGTTCTCTCGCCCTCTTTCTCTCGTTCATCTGACGGGCAGGTGGGCCCAAAAGCAGCATGGAAAAAAAGGCTGCCCCCAGCGGATGGGGAACCAGGTCTTTGATTCTCATTCTCCACAACCATCACTTAGCTGCAGAGGAGGGCTGCAGGGGGTCTTCGGAGGGGCAGAATCCTCCAAGGTACTTCTAGCTGGCAGTGGTAGAATATTTATTTATTTATGAGACTTATATACTGCTTTAAGTGCAAGCACTCTCTAAGCGGTGTACACCAGTAAGCAATGTATATATATATTTCCATTGCCCCCAACAATCTGGGTCCTCATTTGACCTACCCCGGAAGGATGGAAGGCTGAATCAACCTTGAGCCGGTGAGATTTGAACCGCTGACCTGCTGAACACAGTCAGCTAAAGTGGCCTGCAGTACTTGCACTCTAACTGCTGCGCCACCCGGTTCCTGGGAGAGGTGCAGGGAAAGCGGCTTATTTAGCAAGACCAGGGAGATTCTCTTGCATTTCACAAAGACCTCTTATACTTCCTTCAGTTTTTAAAAAAGCGGAAGGTAAGCAGGCAGTTTATTATGCCAAACGTAACCATGCTTCACTTTGCTTGTTATCTATACATGCTTCAGATCCGGTATATGCAGGTAAGTTTCTCACTGTAAGTGAAGAGGGTCCCTCTCTCCTTCCCGGGTCTTTGGGTGCTAAAAAAAGCCCCACTTCCTAGCTCTGTGCCCACCATTCATGCAGCCCCATGAATCCAGTGAGCTCCTGCCTCAAGAATTAGGGGTGCTGGAGGCACAAGGGTGTCACCTAGTCAACTTCACCCTCTTGAAAGGATTGTTTGAAATCCTTCTCCACTCGCCTCCTCGATGTTATTGGTAGCTGCCGCGAGAACCATTCCTGGTGTGCAGAATTGGACTCGGCCCTTATTCTGTCTCTTCTCCCCTTCACACAACATCATTGTTATATGCGGCAGAGAGACAAGGCAAGCAGCAGAAGCACTGGCCTCTACCGAATATTTTGGAGCATTGCTTTGTTCATTGATAAACTCGCCTGTTCTCCAAGGTCTCTCCCCATCTTTGGACAGCTGGCCTGCAAGAATTTGGGGGGGAAACCCGGTTTGGGGAGGGGAGAGAATCACCATTCTGGTAGAAGGTGCTGAAAGCACAGCTTGCTCTGTGGTGGACAAATAAACACCTGATTCCCCCCCCCCCTCCTGACAGTTGAGGATGAGTTTGGAACTCAGCTGATCTTTCTCACCCTCCTCGGTGTTTCATGGTGGCACCCTCAAATCTTGGGTGGCTTTGCAGAGTTCAGCCCCAGGCAGATGGTCCAGCTTTGGTCCTTGCTGAGAAGGACAATATAGGTTGGCCTTCTCATAGGTGCCTCCCCCATCATGAAGGCCACAGGCAGGGAGACACAGCAGGAAGTCAAGCAGGCAGGAGGGGTCTCTCAGGGCTCAGGCTTGGCGGGGGGGGGGAGCAGCCTTTCCCCAGCGTGGCCTCAGGCTGTCCAATCCTCTTTCCCTCTTGGGGAATCCATCCATCTTTCAGTAGAAAGTAATTTGGCAGCAGCCTCTCCCTTCTGGGATCTCTGTGAGCTTCTGGAGATCCATTTGTCTAGATCTTCCCTGCCTTGCTGGGTCTTGCAGCTTTAGAAGATGCAGCCCAAGGTTCAGGGAGATCCTTCGACTCGATAGCTGGCCCAGCATCGTTGCCTGCCACCCAAGAGTGTTCCAGTGATGCAGACAGGGACCAGTGGACGTCCATGTGGAAGTCCTTCCTCTCCACCCCAGGGCCGTGTCTGCAGGCGGGGTGGGAGCAGTCCCCAGAGCCAGTTCAGAGCTGGGTGTCCTTGGAGGAAAACGCTTTGATCGGAATGCTGGCCCCTCCCACCCTGGGCATTGGGGCGCCAATTTTTTGTGCTGCTTCCTATAGAAAATGGGCATGACGGAAGATGACAAGAGGAACTGCTGCCTGGTAGAAATCCAAGAAACCGAAGCCAAGTACTACAAGACCTTGGAGGAGATAGAGAAGGTGAGTGTGGGGCTCCTCTGAAAGGTCAGCCTTCCCGAGCAGACCTGGGTCAGCCTCTGGGCTCCTCTGTTTCTGGAGGAAAGACTCAAGCAGGCAGAGGCTCCCGGCTGACTCTTGGAGTGGAGTTGCTTTCTGAGAGTGCAAAGGTCACACTTTCACACACAGAAGGGATCGTTGTAAGCAGAAGGTCTGATCGTGTTCTACTTTGCTTTTGCAGAACTACATGAATCCATTAAGGCTGATCTTGACTCCACAAGACATGGAAGCCATATTCATCAACTTGGAGGTAACGTCCCTGGGGTTCTGTTCGGCTTTACTATCGAGGCTCTGGGCACTGCAGACCAGCAGCTTCTGGTTTACAGCAAGCCCTGGGAACCAGCCGTATTTCCAAAAGAGCCGAGGTGGCGCAGCAGTTAGAGGTGCAGTACTGCAGGCCACTTTAGCTGACTGTGTTCAGCAGGTCAGCGGTTCAAATCTCACCGGCTCAAGGTTGACTCAGCCTTCCATCCTTCCGGGGTAGGTCAAATGAGGACCCAGATTGTTGGGGGCAATGTAAATATCTATATATATATATACATTGCTTACTGGTGTACACCGCTTAGAGAGTGCTTGCACTTAAAGCGGTATATAAGTCAAATAAATAAATACATACATACATACATACATACATACATACATACATACTTCCCCCAGCAAATTGGTTTTTTGAATCCTGGTCAGTAATGACGCTGTACTTTCTTTTTTAAGTAGGTGAGGATTCAGATTTAAAATATGTTCCTAATGTGTTTTCTTTGTTTCAGGACCTTATTAAAGTGCACTTCAACTTTCTCAGATCCATTGATGTCTCCATGATGTCTGGCGGAAGCACCTTGGCCAAAGTTTTTCTTGAATTCAAAGAAAGGTAAGAAGGGAATTGAGAGGTGCTGGGCTGGAAGGGGTGAGCCCAGTGGGGTGTTTCTAGTGGAGAGGGTCCTGGGAGACCATTTCCAGGAATGTTCCCAAGATTAAGGTATGATGGAGGTATGACACTGTGTTGTAGTTCCGAAGGAAACAAAAAGACCCCAGATGAGGGACACAATGCAACAAGGTCCAGTCTGCCAGTTGTACTTGTGGAAAAGACATGACATTCCTAAAGTAGTTGGAAAAGGCCGTGCTGTGCATCTCAAGTGCATCGCAGAGGCTGCAGTTTTCAAATTTTTAGAAAGGACGTTCCTGTTGATTCTGCATGGAATCTTGTCCACGGAGGCATTTCAGGAAAGATCCAGAACAGCCCAAAGAGCACCTGGAGTGTGCTTGGCCTTGAGGGGAGATAGGAGGGGCCGAAAGAAGGGGGAACCAGTCCGGGCCAGGAGCAGTGATTTCAGTTGCAAGGAGGGAGATGAAGTTCTTGATGGAAAGAGCCGTAGAATGGCACCCGCCACCTGGCAGCTTTGCCAGGGAGCCGACCGCTCTTGCCGAAACAACCAAAACAAAAGCATTGCAAGCTTGCACTTCAGTCTCTCCTCCTTTGGGCCACGTGTGAGATGTTGCGATGCATGTAGAAAATGGGGGGAGGGGGGTTTGCCTCGTGATGCCCCTGATGTCATATAGGCACACATAGCACACACACACACACACACACACCCTGTGCAGATGCCACTGGGGCTTCCTGTGAGCGAAGGTATTTGAGCCCTCGACTCCTGCCCTGAGCAGCGCTGTGCTCAACGGCCTGAGCGACGCATGGCGGCTGCAGGGCTTGGGAAGAGGCACAACAGCCCTCTCGCTCTGCTTCTTCGCAGGCTTCTGATCTATGGCGAGTACTGCAGCCGGATGGAGCACGCCCAGAGCACCCTGAACCATCTCCTGGCCAACCGAGAGGATGTCCGGCAAAAAGTTGAGGTAACTGAGGGCTGGGAAGCAGAACCATATGGCACTTCGCTTCATTTCTGATATTTCATTCTTTCTGTAAAACTGCCGAGGCCCTCTAAATTATTTTTATTAGTATTTACTGCCTTTATATGCCTCCCCTCTCCCCTACAAGGTGACTCTTGAGCAGTGAGTCCTCTCTGTGTTTCCTCTGTCTCGTGGCTGCTTAACCAATGAAGAAAACCCATCAAAATAATAAGTTTATGAAAAGTAGTTTATTAAATGAATGTGCCTTCCAACTCCCAGCAACTCTGAGTGGTTTGCAATTGTGAGATCATTTGAAAAGGAAAACAATTTTAAAAATGGAAACAAAAAAACAAAATAACGGCAAGGAAATAAACCCAGAGGGGAACAGAAAGAAAGAAAGAGGCTCCTAGTGAAGAAATAGCAGAATGAAGGCACTCCATGAAAAGTGAAGTCAACCACTATGACGGACTGAAAAACCGGTGCGTAGACCTGCTCCCCGGGTCACTCGGAGTTCTCCCACTCTCTTTGGGGGATGGGATGAACTCCACAGCTTCCAGCTGCCTTCAGGGCAGTGTCACAGGCTCACTGTGGTGGTTTTGCTGGTTTGGGGCAGGACCCTGGGTCGCCTTCTGTGCTGGCAGCTCGGCTGTTGGCAGCTCAGTGCGCCTCCTTCCCACACCTGAAGCAGCCAGTGGATCATCAGCGTGGGCTCTGCTCACGTGGCCCCAGTTTGGGGGCCTCTTTCTTTTCAGGGGCAATCTTCACATATTCATGGCTCTGCTGGTATCTAGATCAAGCCAGGTTGATTTCCACTTCCTCTGCTAGGACATACCAGCCATGGAGATTGAGGATGGATTGGATGCACCTCTGGAAAGGCATGTGTGGTAGACCTCATCTCTTAGCCCGTCTCAGAAACATCCAATCAGGATGTCTTCTGCCAGTCAGTCAGTCGGCAGGCCAGGTCGCGAACCTGCTGGGTGTACTTGCCCCCCTCCCGCCCCCTTGCCTGATGGCTTTTATGCGATCTTTGGCTTCGAAGTGCTTCCAGAGTGCAACCATGAAACGGTCGAGGTTTCTCAGCTCCAAGGCGCCATCGTTGTGGAGGTTGACCATCCATTCAGCTGCGCCCCCCTCTAATGCCATGGTCACACACTGCACCTCAGCCCCTTCGGTGGGTATTTCCGGGTCATACTCTTGCATGTATGTCTAACACTTGTGCCAGGAAGAACTCCAGTTGCTTTGGGTCTCCACTGAACTTTACTCCCAGAGCTGGTGTCTTGCATCCTCTCTGCCTTGCTGGTGCTGCTCCTGCAGCCGGGGCAGTCTGGGCTGTGGGGCCAGGCGCTGGGAGGGTGGCAATTGCCGAAGGTCTCTGCTGCCGCCACTGCGGTGGCAGAAGTAGTTGCCCCCTCGCTTGCAGTGGCTGGAGTTGGCTGGTCAGCAGGATGTTCTACCCGGGCTAGGGCTTCTTGAGCTACCAAAAGCCCCCCTCAGGAACTTTATGGCTTGCTCCAGCATCTAGTCCTCTTGCTCTGGCTCAGCTGCGCTCAATTCTTTCCCCAGTTCCTCCAGCTCTAATTGGGTCTCTCACCAGCAGCTGTCACAGCCCCCACGAGTGAATGTCTCTTCCCATTTCTTTTTCCAGACTCCGAGGGACCGTTGGGGTCTTGGTGGGTTGTCCTCTTCCAGCCATCTGGCTAGATCTAGCCTCCAGGAGGGGGTTTCGAGGATGCTTCCCCCAGGCCTTGATCTCTTCCTGGTTGCTCCCTTAAGCCAACATCGTTTTCACGATCCCCACGGTAGAGGCAGTTTCCTCTCTGGGTTGACCACAACTGCACAGCTGGCTTAATGTCAGGCCTGCCCCAATCTGATCCCTTAGGAAAGAAAAGCCTTCGACTCCATTTGGTGAGAGCAAAGGGTTTTTTTTTACTAAGATGTCAGTTGCAGTAAAGTCAAGCCAGGTCTGAAATCCACGCTTGCTGGATACAAAAATAAGGTGTAGGTTTGCCCCCCTAGCCCATCCCTTCCCCCATGACCCGTCCATTTCCAGCCAACCGGAACTGGCCAAGACGTTTTGAGAACTCTGACACGTTTGGGGGTACTCCGCTTATTTCTCAGGTGCCTGGCCTTGGGATGCTGCTCTGGTCCTTCTCACCTCCCCATTTCCTGTCACATACATACAAAGCTTTATTGTCCTTTCAATTCCTCCCCCTTCTCCCCCTTTTCATCCTTCTGCCCCTTCTTCATTTGATGTCAGGGTGCCTGTGAGGCGTCAAGCCAAACCAGGCAGAGTTGACTGCAACTTTATGCAAAGCACAGAAGAAAGAGTGGGAAGCCCAGAGCAGAAGAAATTAAAGGCAAAAAAAAGGAAAAGGAAATAGAGCTAAAACTATTTTTCACCAGAACCATATTCCACCACATTTCTTCTACCACACGGAGAATCCACTTCTTGTATTGTCTTCGGGATCTCCTAACTCACCAGTCCCACCCTGACTTTGCCACTCTCCTCCTTCCTTCCTACGTCCTCAGATGTGGCATGGCATGTTTAGTCTCTTTCTGGCAGAAGGAAGAAGCCATATAGATGAGCCATATAGAATGAGATTTTCTCATTCCAGTGCCCAAAAATGAAACCCAGATATCAGTCAGGGCTCCCAAATTTAAATTCTAGCCTTTTTCTTCTGTCTGTCCCGAGTCAACAGACGCTCAGCCGTTCCCTTCATGGCCTTGAAAAGCACTTGATTGGTGCTGACCTAATGGAACCCTCTTGCTTGCAACTGGTTCCTACCCACCGCCCTCCTTCTTTCTGCTGCCCTCGCTGGCTGAGGAGTCCTTGGTGCTCTCCGGGTTTGGTGGTTTTCTTACAGATGTTTCATCACCCAAACCAGGTAACATCGTCAGTGCAGCTAAGCTCAGAGAGCCCCAAGGAGCCCTCATTTCAACCCTGAGCTGCAAGTATTCTCCTCCGTCAGTGCTTTCTAAGCAGTCCATTCCCACTCCATTCAGCTTCGCTGTTCTTCCTGACAGTTCCCTCTGCTGTCTTCTAGCGGAGTCACTCGACTGGGAGATGGGCGGCTATTTCAAATAAATGCACAGGCAGAAGCGCCCTCTTGTCCCATTGGGGCAGTCAGGGGTGCTCCTTTTAGCAGAGCCCAGCACCGTCACCCAGGCCACCCGGCCCTCCCACTGCTTTGCCATTTGCCTGCTTTGAAATGGCTTTTCCCACAGAAACTGAGAAGCCCAAATCCCACAAGGGTCATATTTGGGTGTTATTACAACTCTGGGGTGACCAATGCCATTTTGGGTCCCCCCCCCAGTAGCCTTTGTCTTCTCTCCTAAACTCCCCCACCCCTGAAATCCTGAATCAGCGAGCCCCAGAGAAAGGCGTGGCAAAGGGGGTCAGGCCAGGGGCTGAGCCTTTGCAGGCTGGTGACCCTGAAGCCCCTTCTGGCCTCGCTGTAGGTAAGCATCTCTGCAGCTCGGTCTCTTTCAAAATTTTATTAAGATTTGCCATGTTAATCTTTGAGTAATTAAAGCTTGTGACACAGTTTGCCTTAATCCAGTGGTTCTCAACCTTTCTAATGCCGTGACCCCATAATACAGTTCCCCATGTTGTAGTGACCCCAAGTGGGTGTGGCCACCAATAAGAGGGAGTAGGACAGCTAGGGAAAAGGGAACAAAATGGTGGACAGCATGGTTTGGCGACCCCCATGAAATGGTTGTTCGACCCCAAATGGGGTCCCGACCCACAGGTTGAGAACCACTGCCTTAATCCCATTCAAGTGACTTTTATTTGATCGCTTTTTCCTACTAAAAACCACAATTTTTGTTTTATGTCATAGCTGATGCTCAGCTGCTCCTTGAAAACTGCCAAGTAAATGCTGCAATCACCTCTGCAAACCACTTTGCATGCAAGGAATTAGAAATGGATAATTAGAGCATAATTACAATGTAGCATGTCGGTTTTCTTCATCCGCCAATGGAAACCACGTGCTCTTTTCATACCGTTAGGGTGCTGCTCAGAGATAGGAAACAGAAGAACCATCCCTGCCTTCTCAAAGGCCGCCCCATCTCTGCAGGCACGCAGGGGCCATCTGTGGGACAGACCCGCCTGGGGCCACCGTCCTCAAGTCGCTCATTGGTCTTCAGGCTTAAAAATGGCCTCTGTCTCTGACTAATTTCCACTCGAGCCCGCCTCTTAATTTATTTCGTGTCCAGATCAAACCTTAAACTGCCAACATGAGCTTGCCTTTTTGGCTTTATCGTTGGCCAGAAACAAATTACTTTTGGTGCATCCTATTGGTACAGTGGTTCTCAACCTTTTTAATGCCGTGACCCCCCCCAACCGGTCGTAAGTCGAGGACTACTCAACCGGTCGTAAGTCGAGGACTGCTCATCTGGTGCAGCACCGTTTGCAGACTGGGGCTTTTGGTGGGCTCAGCAGGGCAGAGACAGCCTGGACAATTCCTATTGGCTTTGGAAAGCCAATAGAATTAGACTCTATTCAAGAGAGTCTCTTCTATTGGCTTTCAAAAGCCAATAGAATAAAAGGGAGTAGCACAGCTAAGGAAAAGGGGGAAAAAATGGCGGACTGCATTGTTTGGCGACCCCCGTGAAATGGTCGTTCGACCCCAAATGGGGTCCCGACCCACCGGTTGAGAACCACTGTATTGGTAGCAATGGACAGGCCAACACATTGGCCAGACTGTGTTTCTCCACCTTTGCACAGCGTGTTGTTATCCACCAGCAGCCTCCACTTGAGCATATTGGACTTACACTCAGACACGCTCACCCTCAACGTCATCTAGGTCCTCCAAGTGACACAAGGGAGATCGGATCCCTCTCGCGGGCTCCCTTCTGGGATTACAGGGACCTGCCGCTGTTTTGCCGCTCTCCTTTGGAAGGGCCGTAAAGGGGCTTGATTTACTTCTTTGGAATCCCTGGTCAGACTGCTCTGGCCCTTCTTTCCAAACACCTATCACAGTTGGGGGAGGGGACACTGTCGGGTAAATATAATTTAATGTGAAATTAAATCTCCCTCTTTTTGGAGATAATTTTGGGCATCTTGCTTGGTGCCATGTCAGGAAAAGTGTCAAATCTTATCAAAAATATTGGTGGTAAACTCCCGCAACTCCTGTCTATAAAAGACGCTTCCTTTCCAGTGTCAGGAGAGGAATTATCTCTTCGGTCTGCAGGTCAGAAGTGGGTCTCCTTGAGTTCCCGGGTGCTGCTTTTCCTGGCCCCGCAGCCAAAGTGGCAGAGGTACAGAGGAGCAATTCATGGGCCAGGAGTCCGAGTCCCTTGTGGGGAGAGCTGTGGGGGTGAGAGCAACCTGGCTGGCAGATGGTGGGACTGATCCCAGCTGCTCCTGGTTCATCCTATTTCCACCTTTCTTTGAGCATCTAGCATCAGCGATCTGCTCTACTCGCCCTGAATAAATCCTGCTCATACTTTGCTCCTTCAACAGGACTGTCCTTCCTTACTTAGACTTGGAGTGGGGATGGCGCACCTGGTTGAAATTAGTCAATTAGACTAATCCCTTTGCCAAAGTTGGGATTCACAAACTTCTCTGATGCTTGTTGCTTCCCACACTGGATGCACTTTGATGATTTGCAGACCACAACTGCTCGCTGGGTACCACAGATATGGCGCTGCAAGAAAGAGCTCCTGGCCACAGTCTCCATTCTTTGACAGCGCAAAACAGGAGCGGACAGCAGCTGGACTGGGTCTGGAGACCCTCCTGTGCTGGTTCCAGATAAATCTGGCCCAGAATGGAATTGCAGTTGAGAGCCCTGCTTAGACTGCAATTTGATACCTGGATTTGTACCAAATCCTAAATTTGGGCTTCTTTCTATAGAAAGCCTTAATGGTTCAGTTCATTAGGACTTCTTAAATTAGAACAGACTTCTAACAGTATGGAGAGAATTGATCACAGTTTTAATTTCATTTTGTGATTCAAATTGTACCATCTGCTGCTCCTCATATTTGTATTCTGCCTAGAACTGAAGAGCAATTTTTAGGGTTTTTTAAATGCAATATAAAAATACACGCATCTAAAAGAACATCTGCAATCACTTAATGAAATATTGAAAATCCAAAATCATGAGAATACTTTAAACCCCTTAAAACCTCTTCTTTATTCACCTGATTCTGTTTTTTTCTACTGTTTTATCCTCCTTGGTTTTTTTTTTCTTTTCTGTTTATATCTTTTCTCTTACGATGTTCAACAAAATATATTTTGGGAACTCAGCCAAAGGTAAAGAAAAGACCAGTCCATTTCTCAGGAATTGTGGCCTGCCAGGGCCTGGGTGGGAGCTCAGGGGGCAGGGGTCATGGCATCCAGCGGGCATCCAGTGCAGGTCTGGGGGGAACACAGGGGGCCCTCACTGTTGCAAGGCCAGATCCAGGAGCCCTTTGAGCTGGCTGGGTCCTGGGGCAGGATGGCTCCATGGGCCACTTGGCTGCTTGGCCCTGGACAGTCTGTCTTTAGCCACCAGAGATGGTTGCTGCTCTTGGTCCAGCTACGCAAGCAGCACTGCTGCTGCCACAGACGGACCTTCATTGGAGGCAAAGGTGGGCTTCACGGCTATCTTTTGTTGCTCTCCTTTCAAGGAATGTACTCTGAAGGTCCAGGAGGGGAAGTTCAAGCTCCAGGACCTGCTGGTGGTGCCGATGCAGAGAGTCCTGAAATATCACCTTCTGCTCAAAGTGAGTCGTTCTCCACCTTGCAGAGGGATGAAAAACCCAGATGCATTCTGCAGTGGGCAGGTGGGCTTCAGTTGCTCTCAGTGCAGAGCATCCCAGGTGAGAATGACAGAATTGGAAGGTATCTTGGAGGTCTTCTAGTCTACCCCCCTGCTCGAACATGGAACCTTATACCATTCTGGACAAATGGCTCTTCAATCTTCTGGACCCACAACTTCTGGAGGGGAGCCATTCCACTGATTAATTGTTCTGAATGGCAGGAAGTTCTAGATTGGATCTCTACTTGATCAGTTTCTACCATTGCTTCTTGTCCTGCCTTCAGATGCTTTGGAAAATAGGTTGACCCCCTCCTCTCTGTGACAGCCCCTCAAATATTGGAAGACTGCTATCATGTCACCCTAGTCCTTCATTAGACTAGACATACACAGTTCCTACAACTGTTCATTGCACAACCTACCCTCTGGTCCCCCAATCATCTTTGTTGCTCTTTTTTGCACTCTACGTTTCTAGAGTCTCAACATCTTTTTTGTATCATGGTGCCAAAATTAGATGCAGCATTCCAAGTGTGGTCTTGGATTGCGTTAACTTTTTTGGCAGCAGCCTGGATCTCTCTCACAGTTACTATTGTTGGGCCAGGTACCACTTTTTCTGTACTCGTGCATTTGGTTTCTCTTGCCTAAGGATAAACCTTACTTTTCTCACTTCTGAAATGCATTTTGTTGGATAGGGCCCAGTGTTCCAAGTCTGTCCAGATCCTCCTGTGCTTTGAGCCTTTCACTTCTGGAGTGTTGGCTATTCCTGCCAGCTTGGTGTCGTCTGCAAATTTGTTGAGTTCCCTTTTTATCCTCTGACCTAAATCCTTTATGAAGGTATTGAAGAGTGCTGGGCCTAAGGCAGAACCTTGGCTACCCCACCCCTTACTTCTCTCCACATGGAAGTAGCTCCATTAAGGACTACATGCAGAATGCGGATGGTCAGCCAGTTGCAAATCCATCTGGTGCTGATGCCGTCTGTCCCACAGTTTCCCGTCTTGCCAAGAAGGCTGCGTTCTGCTTTGTCAAAGGCCTCCCTGGTGCCCAAGGAAATTATGTAAACAGCATTTCGCTGTTTACTTAGTCACTTTGTCAGTGAATGCATTAATGTTTGTCTGGCATGATCTGGCTTTGGCTTCTACAACAGCACAGATCTCCTTAATGCCGGTTCCAGTTGGATTGGTAGAGCCAAAGGGATGCAGAACAGCCAGCCCCACGCTGCCCACCTGGCCCTTGGAGTCCAGGGGAGATCCTGAGCCTCTGCATCAGGCAAGGGGCAGGGAATCTTTCAGACAATTTCAGCCTGGGCCTCCCCTGACTCTGCTTGTGCCCCCCTTGCCCAAGATTCTCTCCCGTGCAAATGCTTTTGATTCCACCCAGAAATTGATAATGCAGTTATTCTCACAAACCTTGATTAATTCTGGCTTGTTCGCTCAAGCTTGCACCAAATCATCTGATGCTGCGTGGCCACCCCCAACGGCCATTATCCTTGGGGCAAACAACTCCAACACTTCCTCCTTAGCAGGACCTCTCCTGCCACCTACTGCAGAGGCCTTGAACCCCTGGCATGGTGAGGTGGAGCAGGAAGCCGGCAGGCCGGCAGTGGCTGTAGTAACCCAGGATGATGGTTTGTCTTCTAGGAGCTGCTCAGTCACTCATCCGACCGGCCAGAGAAACAGCAGCTGAAGGAAGCATTGGAGGCCATGCAGGTGAGGTCCTGAGGGAGGCCTTTTGGGGATCACTGCACAGAGGCATGGCCCAGTCTCTGACAAAGAACTGCTCTCCAAAGGCCCCCCCCCCCAGTTTTTCTCAGCCTGACTTGGCTGTGCTCTGCTTCTGCCCTGGGGGAGTGGGGGGGCTGGGAATTGCACAGGTGGCTGGGCAAGGGAGGCTGAACCCAGAAGCAGGCCTGTCTTTCCGCTCTCGGAGCGGATCCCTGCCCGGGGCTTTCTGCTTGCAATTTATTTATTTATTTATGAGACTTCTATACCGCTTTAAGTGCAAGCGCTCTCTAAGCGGTGTACACCAGTCAGCAATGTATGTATGTATGTATGTGTATGTGTGTGTGTGTGTGTGTATATATATATATATATATATATATATATATATATATATATATATATATATATATATATATATATATATATATATATATATATTTACATTGCTCCCAACAATCTGGGTCCTCATTTTACCTATTTTATTTATTTTATTTATTTATTTATGAGACTTATATACCGCTTTAAGTGCAAGCGCTCTCTAAGCGGCGTACACCAGTAAGCAATGTATATATATATATATATTTACATTGCCCCCAACCATCTGGGTCCTCATTTTACCTACCCCGGAAGGAGGGACGGCTGAGTCAACCTTGAGCCGGTGAGATTTGAACCGCTGACCTGCTGAACACAGTCAGCTAAAGTGGCCTGCAGTACTGCACCTCTAACTGCTGCGCCACCTCGTCTCTTATGCCACTGATGGGCCACTTCGACCAAAAAAGGCCTGTTTTTCGTTTTTCAGGACTTGGCCATGTTCATCAATGAAGTCAAACGGGACAAAGAAACATTGAAGAAAATAAGTGAATTTCAGAGTTCCATAGAAAACCTGGTAAGATCAAAGGAGCAGCCTTTGGCTCTTGGTGATAAGCGGCAGAGAGGCCTTCTCAGTCTCCTCTCCTGAAGGCCAAGCCGTTTCGGTGACCGGCAACAGGCTCCTCCTCCTCCTCCTTCAGGAGATTGGCATCCCATAATGGCTGTTACGAGGCAGTGATTGCAAATGGCCTTAGCCAGCCAAAGGGCACAGGTGATATCAACCAGGGCGGGACCCAATTCTCCACCGCTAACTCTCCACGGGCCAACTTGCCGCCGGACAATCCACGGCGGAACAATTTAACAATTCTATTTATTTTTTAAAAATAAATAAATAAATATTTTAATTTTTGTCGATATCATTTCATTCTGTCCCTCCTTTTGCATCCTTTCCTTAATTATTCTCTTCCACCATTTCTTTGTTATTGATATAACTGTTGTCTGGCAACAAGTGGAAAGTTATCCCGCAGCGAGCCGTGGCGAGTTGGCCGTGGCAGATTGTCCTAGGGCAGTGTTTCTCAACCTTGACCATTTTAAGGCATGAGGACTTCAACTCCCAGAATTCCACAGCCAGCGTTGCTGGCTGTGGAATTCTGGGAGTTGAAGTCCACATGCCTTAAAATGGTCAAGGTTGAGAAACACTGTCCTAGGGCTAGGCCCCCCTGCCTCTGCTTCTGGTCTCGTTTACCTGCTCACAGGTCCCCAGAGCTGGATCGCACAGCACCCCGGAAGAGGCTTCGCTGCCATCAACCCCCGAAGTGCCCTGTCCCCCCCCCTCTTTGCCAGCTGAGATGCCACATTGGAGCTTTTGCTCTTTTAACCTTTGTCACCTTTGCCACAGCCGGTGAAGCTGGAAGAATACGGGCGGCCAAAGATTGATGGGGAACTGAAGGTCCGGTCCATCATCAACCACACAAAGCAAGATCGGTGAGTGAGCAAAGCAGTGGAGCAGGAAAAGCCTCTTCCAGGGGTCCTGGCTGAACTGAAGCCCTGAGAGCAACGTTGGTGCAGCTGGCTGAGTTCCCATGACGTGGAGGCTTGAGTGGGTTGACTTCCAGAGGCAGGAACCCCACCCACAGCACTCCGCTCAGCAAACCAGGGACGGCTAGCATGTTGTCTGAAGGCAGCTCCCTCCCTGGCTCACCTCAGTCCTGGAAGCAAATTCCACTTTTCTACATCTCAGCTCAGATCCCGCTCCCCTTGTGCCCGGCCCACCTGTCCTCTCCTTCCCCAGGAGCCCCTTTCCCTGCTAGAGAGCAGCAGCAGCAGGTGCAAGAGAGCTGACAGGGGTCCTACCTGCCACCCCTGCTCTGCCAGGTGGGTTGAGCCCACCTGGCAGCCATCAGCTGAACCCTGGAAGTGGGTTCAAAGAGACGGACCCTTTGCCTCCCCTTCCGGCATTAATAGGGAAGACCCCTGCCTTGGCTCATCTCCCCCCCCAAGGCAAAAGGCGGGTGCTGCCTGTCCTTCTTGGGGCACGCGGAGGGTGATGGCTTGCCCTTGGCCACTCAGCCGTGGGCCAAGCCCCCCAGGTGCTCCTGGCCCAGCGCTGAGCCCCATGGCAGGAGAGGAGGCGGCTTTTAAAGGGGGCCCAGGAAGAGACGAGCAGGAGGGCTTGGGGGGGGGCATCTGGCTGCGTCTGTTGGAGATGTAGAATCTCAGGGGAGGAGCTCCCTTGACTGGAAGTGGCAGGCAGCCATTTGCCACTTCTTGGGGCCAGAAATTGACCACTCTGGCCAGAGATGATAAACCCTCTTGACCAAGCCTCCAGGTGGGACATCTAGGCACAAGCTGTCCCCTTTGGCTGGCCTGGTTCTCCCAGTCACTGGAGGATGGAAGCCCCTTCCCCAAGGCCTGGGGGGGGGGGAATGTGCAGACATGGTTGTTGAGTCCCGGTTTCCTCTTCTGATTCTGGGACAGGTATTTGTTTTTGTTTGATAAAGTGGTGATTGTCTGCAAGAGAAAAGGCTACAGCTACGAGCAAAAGGATATCCTTGAGCTGCTCTGTTACAAGATGACCGATGATCCCACCAACAACAAAGATATCAAGAAGGTGGGTGATGCAGGTGATACCTCTCTTTTTTCTCGCTTCCCCTCCCTTCATGGCCAACATTGAACACTGCAAGGGGGGGGGGAGAGCTGTAGCCGCTGGAAGCACACTTGGCACCTCCTGTTGTTCCCCCTGGGGGCAACCTAGCCTGATTGTGCTCCAAAAGAGCTGGGGTGCTCAGGCCGTCCAGGGGCTGGAAGCTGAGTTCATCCTTCTCCACTGGCCTGGGGCCAGGGGGTATCCATGTGCTTCTTGGCCCCTTTAGAGAAATCACAGTTCTCTCACTGGGGGGTTTACCAGGATGCTGTGTCCTTTGGCAAGCTGGCCTGGCAACTGCCCATCTAGCACCACGTTCACCACGAGGAGAAGCCCCTTTCTGGTCAACAAGGCTTCCCACGTGGACAGTTCTTGCTTGAAGCAATGAAGGAAATCCCAGGAAAGCCAGCCCCTCTTTTATGCCAGTTTTTTCCCTGCATGAAGGAATCCCTGTTCTTCTAGGGGCCTTAGCAGGTGGAATTCCTGGGGGCCATGGGGAGGGGGGAAAGGGGGCCCTTGTTTATTTAGAGTAATTCCCCCCCCACGCTCTGGAGGGTGCAGTTCCAGAACATCTGGGCCACCTGGGACGGGGGGCCATGGGGAGGGGGGAAAGGGGGGCCCTTGTTTATTTAGAGTCTGAACAGGTGGGATTTGGAGCTTGTTGTAACCAGCTGTGTCTCCCCTTCGCTTCCTTCTGCTTCTCAGTCGCATGGAAAAATGGTAAGCCGTCTCTAGCAATTCTGGCCCTTTTGTCTTGCTGCTGCTGTACTAATTCTAGACAGGGCTGATTGGGCATCGTCCAGTGGGCTGCGTGAGGGCCTGCAGTTACTGCAGGAAGCCTTACAAGCAGCCCTGTGAGGTAGGCTTGCCCGATGAGGGTGAGTGGAGCAGATGGGGCTAAAGCGTCTTTGAAGGAGAGGCAGCCTCTTGCATGCTGGCAAAGAGAGGGAAGGTGAGCCCTCCCCGAAGCGGCACTGAATTCCCAGTCCTCGTGGCCAGGAATGGAGGTCAATTGGCCAAGCTTGCTGCCTCTGGTGCTGCAATTCGGCCGCCGAAGGGTGCCTCCTAAGGGCAGGTTTCAGGGTGGCGCGATGGCTCCCCCCAGCCCTCCTGGCCTGCACTGGCCATGGGCTTCTCCTGCCTCAGCGTCTGGCTCCATCCATTCCTCTCTCTTTCCCCACAGTGGTCTTATGGCTTCTACCTCACTCACCTTCAAGGCAAACAGGGATTCCAGTTTTTCTGCAAGACGGAAGAGATGAAACGGAAGTGGATGGAGCAGTTTGAAATGGCCATGTGAGTGTCCAGGCCCAGATCAGAAGGCTGAATGGTCGAGACACAGCCAGGCATGGCTGGCTCCTGCAGGTGGTCTTGACACAGGCGTTGGTACACGTGATGCGCAGGCAGGACTAAGTGGTGCCGCCTGGCCTGGCCCTGACCCAGAGGTTCCCGAGTGCAGGGCTGAGCCTCAGAGACCCTCGGTGCAAAGTGGACCCTCTTCACAATGTCCCCAAAGAGGAGCTGCCACTTGCTTTGCCTGGCCTGAGCTGAGTGCTGCTCCTTTTCTTTGCCCAGATCCAACATTAAGCCCGAGAAAGCCACGGCAAACAACCACCAGTTCCAGATGTTCACCTTTGACAAGACCACCAACTGCAAAGCCTGCAAGATGTTTTTAAGGTGAATGTTTTTCCTTCTTCGGGTACACACAGACTTCTCAAACACTGCTGCTAGTTTTACTGTAAAGGTGCATTATTACAAAAGGTCTTCCAGCCGCCGTGCAACAGGCACCCTTGGAGCCATACAGCTCGGGGGCAGCTTGCCACACTGAGGCTTCCTGGCACATTGAAGTTCCTGCTGCAAGCAGCCTCTGAGCTGCAGTATGGCAAAAAGCACCTGCTCCAGAGCCCACCCCTTCCAGTGCCCCATCAGCAGCTTACTGGAAGAAAAGCACCTTGTGTTGCTGGCCAGGGTCCCTCCTGGCCAAGGCTCCTCCACCTTCCAAGAGCCATGCCTGTGTGTGCTGCCAAGGAACTGGCACTTGGTCCCCCAGACCAAGCAGGGAACTTTTGCCTGGACTCTCTCCTCCACCCCCTCCACCCTGGAAATCTGGTGGGCCTCTCATGAGCACAGGTTCCAGGATGTTTTGTTGCACCCGGGCCTGACATCACCAGCCTATTTCCATAGCCCCTGCCCACGCATGGCCAGAATGCTAAGCCCAGGGAACGGGATGCAGGTGAAGACCGCAAGGAAAGTCAGGTGGAGGGAGGGCAGCAGGAGGGGCAGTAGTAAATGTGGCCGAGCTCAGTATTTATTTATTTATTTATTTATGAGATTTCTATACCGCTTTAAGTGCAAGCACTCTCTAAGCGGTGTACACCAGTAAGCAATGTATATATATATTTACATTGCCCCCAACAATCTGGGTCCTCATTTTACCTACCCCGGAAGGATGGAAGGCTGAGTCAACCTTGAGCCAGTGAGATTTGAACCGCTGACCTGCTGAACACAGTCAGCTAAAGTGGCCTGCAGTACTTGCCCTCTGACTGCTGCGCCACCTCGGGACTGACCTCAGAATCTAGCAGAAGGGCTTCCCTGCATCTGAGGAGAGGGATATGGAGCCCACAGGGGCCTCCGGGTATCGGGGCGTCTTCCCTGCTCCTGCTCCAAGGAGTACAGCCTCTCAGGGGTCCAGCTCTAGGCAGGCATGCTGGGCTAGCAGCATCTCTCTCTTTCTGCAGGGGGACCTTCTACCAAGGCTACCAGTGTCTGAAGTGCAAGGCGGGTGCCCACAAGGAGTGCCTGGAGGTCATCCCACCCTGCAAATTCAGTAAGTGTTCCAAGCACAGGGCGGCGGGGGGGGGCTGAAAAGCCCCTTGCGGCCAGCTAGCCCAGAAAACAGAGCAGGGCTGTGTCTGCTGCCAGGGTATCCGTTAGTGTCCCCGGGTGAAACAGAGAGCCTGGGCTGTCCAGTCCACTGCCCCAGGAAAGTCTGGTGGGCCACCCATGGGGACAGGTTTGGGGCGGTGCTCTCCAAATCAACGGGCCACCCATGGGGACAGGTTTGGGGCGGTGCTCTCCAAATCAACACGTTTTCCTGCAATAAAAGGCACGATTCGCTCCAGTGGCCGCCTGTTGATCCTGGTAGACTGGCTGAGCCCCCCCCCCCCGGGCAGCTTCCTCATTGGGGGTCCCTGTCAACCTCTCACCCGTCCAGAAGGGCAGAGCAGCTGCAGAGACACCTCCGTTCTGCAGCTGTTTAGAGTATTTTGCACGTCATAAATGGTTTTGAAAAATACATTTTGCCCTCCTGTAACATCCCCGTCACCATCGCTTAACAAATATATTTGCATGTGAAAGGGCATTCTAAATTTTGAAGGTGGGTCAAAGGGCGAGAAAAGGGAGAGAAGGAAGAATTTGGAATAGCAAGAAATGAGGAGGGGGATTCAGGGGGTCGTGAGACCTGCACACACCAACTGATGAACCGAGGTGTTCCTCTTAGGCCAGGGGTTCTCAACCTTGGCAACTTTAAGACTTGTGGACTTCAACTCCCAGAATTCCTCAGCCAGCAAAGCTGGCTGAGGAATTCTGGGAGTTGAAGTCCACAAGTCTTAAAGTTGCCAAGGTTGAGAACCCCTGTCTTAGGCGGTTTCCCAGTTAACCAGCCACTTTTTCATGTTGCCTTCCAGGTTCTCCTGCTGAGCAGGTAAGCAGTGCAGCTGTTCTTCCTTCCTCTCTGGGAATGACGCAGGGAGCAAGGTGCCCGAGGAAGACAGGGGGGGGGTCCCCTTTCCCCCACCCCCTTTCTTAGAAGTGAGGCCGAGTCCTTGGTTGGTCCTGAGATGGGGCACCCTTTTTTCTGCTACTATTTCTGCCCCAATTTGAATGCAAGGGGGTAGGGGCTGCAGGGAAGAATCCAAACTGTCGCATCTCTGTAAGACCTTTGCTGTTGGGGGGGGGGCAGGGGGGGCAGTTCTAAGAGCAAAACTAGCTCCTGGTGTGAACAAAAGCGCCCCAGGAGATCTGAAACTTCTTTCTTTTTATTTCTGGACAGGAAACACCGAATCTAGGTAAGTCATCCCCTCCTCCTCCTCCACTACCACCTCCTCCTTCTCCTCCACGTCTGCCTCCTCCACCTCCTCCACCTCTGCTCCATCTCCTCCTCTGCCTCCTCCTCCTTAACCACAACCTCCTCCTCCTCTTCCTTTGCCTCCTCATCTACCACCTCCACCTCCTCCTCCTCCAATTTTGTCTCCTTCTCCTCCTCTGCCTCTGCCCCTCCTCCATCTCCTCCTCTGCCTCCTCCTCCTTCACCACAACCTCCTCCTCTGCCTCCTCATCCACCACCTCCGCCTCCTCCACCTGTCTCCTCCTCCTGTCTCCTCTTCCTTAACCACCACCACCACCTCCTCCTCCACCTCCTCCTCTTTCACCACAACCTCCTCTGCCGCCTTATCCACCACCTCCACCTCCACTTCTGTCTCCTCTGCCTCCACCTCCTCCTCTGCCGCCTCCTCAACCACAACCTCTTCCCCCTCCATCACTATAACCTCCTCCTCCATCACCTCATCCTCCAATTCTGTCTCCTCTGCCGTCACCGCCTCCACCTCAGCCTCCTCCTTCACCACAGCGTCCTCCTCCTCCGTCTCCTCCTCTTTAACCACTTCCTCCATCTCCTCTTCACTACAACCTCATCCATCACCTCCACCTCCTCCACTTCTGCCACCACCTTGTCCGCCTCCTTCACCACAAGCTCCTCCTCCGTCTCCTCCTCCTTCACCATAACCTCCACCACAACCTCCTCCTGGGGGTCTGCGATGTAGCCTCATCCTTTGCTGCCAACCCCTGCTAAGAGATCCATCAAGGCCCCTGCTGTTCCTGGCTTCTTTCCAGGTCCTAAAATGGTGGCCCTCCAGAATTACCATGGGAACCCAGCTCCACCAGGGAAACCCGTGTTAACTTTCCAAATGGGTGAAGTGATTGAGCTGCTCCGAGGGGAACCGGACTCCCAGTGGTGGGAGGTGAGTGGATCCTCCAGGAATCTGCAGAAAAGACCAAACCTTCCTCAGCTCGTTATCCATGGAATTCAGCTTTGGACCTGCCAGGCATTTTAACAAGAGCCTGAAGTCCTTCAACTGCACCCAGGAGATGAGGCTGGCTAGGACAGGACCCTCCTTCCCTCTCTCCCTCTGCTGGGTTTATTCAATAGCACCAGCATTGGGGGCAGCCCCTGTGGGACCCAGCACCCTTGGCCAATCTAGGATCCTGCTCTGCCATCTGCCCGTGGTGAACTCAAGGAGCCCGGCATCCTGGCTTGCTGGTCCAGCTGAGCCTCAAGTCTCTCAGACCCCCCATTGGGTGCTGTTGCACCAAACAGGAGGTAGCCTGGGCTAAGCCCCTTCTCCATAGAATTGGGTCACCTCTGGGTGGCCAGCAAGGCACGTTGGCTGAAGAAGTTCCACACCCCAGGCTGTAGCTTACCAGGTTGCAAAGCAAAGCAAGGTTGTGGGAACTCAGCCCTTAGCACATTTGCTAAGTCAGCCTATCACATTAGCTTGTTCACATGACAGAGACACCATTGTTGTGTCTTGTTGACTTGCGTTAAGGGTGTTGTATGAATCTTTGAGAGAGTGAAAACCGCCTCATTTGGGAGAGAACAAAGAAACCTAAGCTCAAGGTGGGCAAGGGAGTCGCTGGCGCTGCTTCTTCCTTTATGCCTGGGTTTCCGCCCCACATGGCAGGAACTCTTCTCTTTCTTCCAGGGGAGACTCGTCGTGTCCAAGAAATCTGGCTATTTCCCCAGCTCGTTGGTCAAGCCTTGCCCAGTGGACGCGCGGGTAAGAGTCCTTGAGGCAGGGAGCTGCAGGAACCACTTTCAAGGCTATGACACCCCCCCCTCGCCCCCCAGTGATTGAGCGCCTGGATTAACAGCTGCTGCGTTCAGTGGCTAACCCCCTTTCTTTCAGTCCGAGGACCGATTGCCTCCTCCTGGCACTGGGGGTCTTCTGTCCCACTGCTCACAGCTCAGACCACCCCTGCAGGGGATGCCTTTGGGAAGACTGGCCTTCATTAGGATCCCTCCCACCCCAAATCACAACTTTGTTCTCTGCTGCAGCCTCCCAACAGCCGCCCTCCTTCGCGAGAGATGGACTATTCCGTGTACCCCTGGTGAGTTGGGTGGGTGGGATTGGCTGGGCTCCTCATTTCGAATCTCCTCATTGGTAAAGGTTGGGGGAAGTCCAAGTGAGGGGGATGCGGGGGACAATTTCTTGCTCTCTATAAATGGAGACCGTCAGAGTGAATAGTTTCTCTCCAAGCCCAATTGACAATGTTCCTTTGGAGAGTCATATTTGTGGTTTTCTAAAACTTTCCCAGTTGCACCTATGAGAAGGAAAAAGGCATCTGAAAAAATCCCTCCCTGTCCTGTTCCCCAGTGTTTCTGGCTTTGTGGACCAGCAGGCGGGGGGGGGGGGCGATGGTTTCATGCAAGCGGCTGGCAAGCCCATGCGCGCAACTCCCTTTATGCAAGCAGCTTGCACATGCACCTGCCCCTCATGCAAATGGAGCCCGCTTGGGCTCACCAGCCATTTCCACAGCCCAGTTGCAAACCCCTCACGGCCCACAGGCTGGAGACCTGTTGTAGGGCTTTTTCCCCCCCAGTCTTGTTCGAAAAGAATAAAGAGCTGTTTCTCTCAGAAGGGATGCTGGGAAGGCTTCCTTGTAGCTTTTGATGTGCTGTTGCCTCTTCATCCGAAGGGAAAGGGATTATTGTCCTCATGATGGCAGAGGACTTGAAGTGGCCTTCTCTTCATTTGGGGGTTGAACCACTTCTGGAAGGTGTTGCCTGAGGTCACAGCCTGGAGCCCCAGGAGAGGCTCTCATTGCCCCCCAAGTTTATAGAGGTGCACGACTGCAGATTGAGGGTAGCTGGAGAAGAAGAAGTGGCTGAGCAGACTTGGGATTGGAGAAGCAGGAGCTGTGAAGGGGAAGAGCCGAGGTGGCGCAGCAGTTAGGGTGCAGTACTGCAGGCCACTTTAGCTGACTGTGTTCAGCAGGTCAGCGGTTCAAATCTCACCGGCTGAAGGTTGATTCAGCCTTCCATCCTTCCGGGGTAGGTCAAATGAGGACCCAGATTGTTGGGGGCAATGTAAATATATATATATATACATTGCTTACTGGTGTACACCGCTTAGAGAGTGCTTGCACTTAAAGCGGTATATAAGTCTCATAAATAAATAAATAAATAAATAAATAAATAAATAAAAGACCAAGGATTCCAGGGGGATTCTGGCATGAGACGCAGCTTCTCCCAAGGATGACCCTTGTGGGTTCCTCAACCCTTCCAGGGAGGTCACCAGCGGAGGCTGCGAGGTTCATCCTGGGCCTTTTCCTCTTCGTGATCGGATGCATGATTCCAATCATACCATTTGTAGCTGATTCAGAATGGAAATAAAATTTTAATTGATTTTGCTAGGTTAAAGAATGGCTGAAATTAAGAGGATATAATTTAACGGAGATGGATACTAAATTACTAGCTAGGAAACAAAAAATAAATGGAAGATGTAGCTGATGTAGCTGATTCAATATGTTATTGATGAAACAATCTTGGAATAATAGTTTATTGAAAATTAAATATGAGGCAACTGTGTGATGTGGCTGTAAAAAAAAAAAAAAGGCAAACCGAGTGCTGGGCTCCATCAATAGCACTACAGATCCCGTGAAGGAATAACTCCAGAGAATAACTCCAAGAAGCAACCTCCTTGGTCAGATCTCCACTCATTGGTGCTACCAGTTCTGTGTGCTGAGCTTCAAGAAGTATTCAGAGAGCGTAGAAGAAGAGAGTCAAAGAAAGGCATTAAGTAGAGCATCCTGTGGGGAGGTTGGACCTTGAGAAGAGAAAAATTAAGAGGGGGGGGGGGGAAGCCGACTTTCTGAAATATGTCACACTGGAGGAAAAAACTGGTTCTCTCTGGTTACAGAGTGCAGGCCGTGGTAGGAGAAACTCCTAAGGACAGTAAATTCAGTGATTTGGAGGGATGGGGGGGGGCTGTCCCCTGAAGGAGGGGCTGAATTACTGCATGAATTATGGGTTGGATTCAGGCCTTCCATTCCAACTCGGGGGTTTGTGAGCAAGGCAGAGCTGAGATACGGAGCCCTATAATGAAGGGTCATCAATGGAGGAGAATTTCTGCAACTCAGGGTTGAACTGTGCACCCCGAGTTGGGCTTTTGGCTAGCAGGCCTTTCCCTACCAGACAAGGAAAGGCATCGGGGCCGCCAAGGGCTCCGCCATGCCAGGCCTTGTTTCGGAGCCCTCCCCAAAGCCCTGGGGGCAGGGATACCCAGCTGCCAAGAGGGAGGGGCGGCTGCTTCTGCCTCTGAGGCTGAGCCCGGCTTCCCAACTCCTCTCTCTGCACAAGGGTCCCCCTGCAGGCTCCTGCAGCTTCAGAGCATCAAAGGGACGTTTGAAGGATCTAAGGGGGATCTCTCCTAACCCAGAGTGTGGATTTTAGGTTTGCAGGTAACATGGAGAGGCAGCAAACAGACAACCTCTTGAAGCAGCATGTCAGTGGGACCTACCTGATCCGGGAGAGGCCAGCAGAGGCCGAGCGCTTTGCCATCAGCATCAAGTCAGTGGCTGGCTAAGGGCAGTTCCTCCCACCCCTGGGGGGGGGGGGCACACGGAGGAGATGGGTTCACACAGCCCCGCTGGACCCCAGCTAGCTTCCAGACCTTCCCTGTCTTCATATTCCCAAAAGTTACCCATAGCTTAAGGGGGGGTGGCCCTGGGAGAAGCACCCCTTTCCAACTGGCCTGGTATGCCTTGCAAACCTCTCCCCCTTTTGGGACTTGCTGAGGGAGAGTTCTTGTTTTAGAGTCTGGCAGAGATAACTTTTCTGCTTCCAATAATTGGTCCAAAATTAGTCGGCATCACGGTCCTCCTTGGGAGGCCACATTCACATCTTAAGCTCCCAAGAGGGGGGGGGGTGTGCTTACCCCTCAGGTGGAGCAAGCCTTCAAGTGGGCCTCCAGCATTTCAGCATATGGGGCACCCACACCAGATGGACCTTTGGCTATTAAAGTCTGGCCGGTTTAAGCCCAGCTCTTTGCCAGCCTCTCCCACAAGGCAAATCTGGAGGGTGATGGTGGGCTGGGCTTTTGGGTAGGAAACATCCCTGCAGTGATCTCCTGAAACCTCTGCCCTCTCCCTTGCAGGTTTAATGATGAAGTCAAGCATATTAAAGTTGTTGAAAAAGATAACTGGATCCACATCACAGAAGCAAAAAAATTTGAAAGCCTCTTGGTATGGTATTCTGGAAAAAACAAGTCTTGTCTTGAACCTGATCTTTCTGGGGGCTTCATGGGGCTCATTGGCTTTGCCCTTCTTCTGCAGGAACTGGTGGAATACTACCAAGGCCATTCCCTGAAGGAGAGCTTCAAACAGCTGGACACAACACTGAAGTATCCATACAAATCCCGGGAACGCTCTGCCTCACGAACCTTAGCTCGATCACCGGGTAAGGCCTGTCTCCGTCCTGCTGGGGGTCACAGAGCAGGTGGAGAGCTTGCACAAGGAGCCCCACCTTTGCTCCCACAAGCCAAAGGACCAGTCCCCACCAGCTGGCCAGCAGAGAAGCCCCGCAGTGGAAAGACTCTTGCTATGGGGATGGGACTCCCAGGCTCCCCAACCTTTCAAAGCCTCCCCCAGTGCCCCATGGCTTTCCACCCAGAGCAGCCACCATTGTGGCTCAGCTAAGCAGGGCGATGGGTCCAGTCTAACCAGGGTTGGCTTTTTTGATCAATGGGTTCCAACAAGCCTCCTCCTTTCAGCCCTGAGCAGACCACCCCCCCCCCCAGCAAGGAGGGGCTGGGAAAGAGACAGCAATGCCCCACCTTCCTCTTTGGAAGCTTATCTGCAGAAATGCCGAAGAAATTCTAAAACTGTCCTGAGGCTGAAACAAAACAATTTAACGAATCTGAGCTTATGAAAAGAACACTGGAGGAGTCGCTTTGGAAGGGGATGGGTTTTTGCCAGATATCTGAGCCTCGATTGGGAGAAAGTAAATCGCTCCCCCATCCAGGAGAAAGCAGGAATTCTCCATCCAAATTTATGCAGGCTCCCCAGCTGACCACAAAGGCCTCCCCCTTCCCTGGGTGAGGGGTGAGTGATGAAGGGGCTGGTCTGAGTGTGGACAAGCAAGTGGCCTCCGCATGACCAAATGCACCAGAAAGCTCCATCTGAGTTTTTTATGACTCGGGCCAGGATTGCTGGGTGGTCGTTTCTGTGTGGTTCTGGCTTCATCTCCAAAGCTCATTTTGATGATGATGATGATGATAAAGTCTGTGGCTAACGCTGATCCTGCATCCCGGCTTTCTGAGCAGGGGGGCTTCCAAACGTCCTTGGTGGTTCTTTCAGATGCTGCCCGCTTGCCCTGAGCCACGCTCCACAGTCCTGGGCAGCTGCATCTGAGAGCAACCTGCCATTTAGTGCTTTAAGGAAAAGGGCTGAATCCTTCCTGCGTGCTGAGTCTGCTGGGCCTGCTCCCCTGGCGCCTTCCCTGGCCCTGTAGGGGACCGGCACCCTTCCCAGGGTGATGTTTTGCTTGCTCCCCTCCAGACAGGAGAGAGCCTGGCTCCCTCTGCGCAGATCAGCCCACAGCAGGGTCTTCGCCTGGGGAGGCAGTGGGGGTCGAGTGGCTGACCAGCCACACAGACCAGCTCTGTCTTGCCGTTGGGTCAAAGAGTGAAGAGCCGTGTGGTTTGGGTGGGCGTTTCCCCTGCCTTGCTGATTTCTCCCGTTTCATAAATGTCCCCCTTTAATAATGTCTTCCCCCTCCCTTTTCTCCTGCTGCCTCCATTTCCCTCTAACTTCTTTTCTGCAGCTGCCTGCGCTTCCTACAATTTTTCCTTTCTCAGTCCTCAGGGCCACCACTTCACTTCTCAGAATCCCTCCACTCCTTTTTGGTCAGGTAGATATAGCTCTCTCTCTCTGTCTCTCGATATAATAAACGTAGCAGATGAATAATATCTATATGCATGCAAAGGCTGAAGGACAGCGACACCTGCTGGTCATCTAAGAAAGGACCGTGTGACCCTCTACCCACAGCTGGCAGATCAGCCACCAGCTCCTAGCCCAGTCTTGGCGGAGCAGCTTAACAGCAGCTGAGAAAGGCTCCTGGTGGCCAGAAAGGCCAAAGAGGTGCCCAGGTAGAACTTGGACCACCCCATTTTAGCCAGAAAGAAAAAAATAAGGCTGAAAGTCGCGGAACGTGCTGACATTGCTCTCGCCTGACTTGGCACCTGGACAGGTCACGCCACGGGAAGCTCCTTCACTCTTCTTGCTTTATATCTCCCTCCCCCCCAGTCTTCACTCCTCGGGCCGTCGGGACTGCAGTGGCGAGGTACAACTTTGCTGCCCGGGACATGCGGGAGCTCTCCCTGCAGGAAGGGGACGTGGTGAAGATCTACAGCCGGATCGGCGGGGATCAAGGCTGGTGGAAGGGAGAGGCCAATGGCCGAGTAAGTGGCCTCTGGAAGGTGCACGGCCCTTCTTGCAGAGCTCTGGGCACAGCCGTTCACGCTCCTTTCTGAATTGGGGAGGGGGCATCCAGACAAGGACTGGCGATGCATCCAGTGCCGGGCCCTGCTCTCTCAAGCCCCCGCAGTCATAAAAGCCCCCCTCCCTCCTGGACTGGCCTGGTCCCGTGCTCCATCGTGGCTGCCCCTCAGTCCTTATGTTCAGCTGTGATTTCTTGCAGATCGGCTGGTTCCCTTCGACCTATGTGGAGGAGGAGGGGGTGCAGTGATGCCCACACTGGCAGGAGCTACTGTCCCTGAGGGCAGCCCCGGCCGTCTCTGGGCCTCCAAGGAAAACAGGACTGTTCTTCTTCCAGCACCGAGAAGAGCGCCTCTGTGGCCCACTCCCCAGTCCATGGGGCAGAGTGCACGGGGGGCACATGAAGCACAGCTGCTTCTTTCTCATCTGTTCCCTGACACAGAAGAGCTGAACGCTGGATATTGAGACACGTCTGCAGAAAACCACGAAGCCTCTGGGGAAGGCAGGCAGGACCCAATGGCCTGGCCAGAAGTGGCTGCACTACCAAGCCGTCTGAGGTGTGGAAGATGGGCTTGGTGGTGTCTGATCCTTGGGTGGGATACGAGAAGAGATGCTGGGGGTTTGGGAGTCACAGGAGGACATTGCAAGGGGTGCCCTTGGCTTAGGAACTTTAGGGGGGGCTTCTGCAAGTCCCAGCGCCCACCATGGTGGTGGGCTGTGGACCGACCGAAGTTGCCCTAAATGTGAGTGGGCCCCTTTATGATCCAGAGGAAAGAGGATCCCCAGACTGCTGGGGTTCTTCCTGAGCCTGTTGTGAATCTGGGACTGGAAAGAAGGAAGTACACGCTATGTGGGCGCACCCCACGGGCCCCACTGCTGCCTCTCCCTCTGTTGTGTGAGTCTCTCCTCCATCAGTCCTGGGAGCCTGTCTGAGCTGGCTGCCAAATGGACCCTGTGAACTCCAGGAGCCTCTGCTAGTCACACAACCAGTCAAGGTTGGCCTTCTCAGGGCCTGCCGGTTCCTGGTGGTGCTGCTGCCCTCTGAGTTAACCAGAAAGCCTTTGCATTATGCTCATCCTGCTGGCAAAATGGTTTCCATCCACCCAGTGGCCCTCAGGGCTGGAGGAGCTTCTGCTCGGAGAAGGATTAGTGTCCAATAGAACAGATGCTGTCCACATGGATGTCACAGATGCGCGCAGAGCCCCGGCAAGGATCTCTTGCCACAAAGGAGGAATCGCTCTGCCTTTCGGACTTTGGGGAGATCCACTGGCCGTGTCTAGGCCATGAGGCAGCTTTTCCTTCCAAGCATACATCAGGGAGCCCTCTTGAGCACTGAGCGACTTCCCTGCTTTCCTCAGCTCTTTTGCAAAAGGCTTAGGTGCCAAGGGGCTGCATGTGGGGCAGGGCCTTTCCAGGGGGCAGAGTCCAAGGTCTCCTGGAGGCTGCTGAGGGCCATCTGCTGCTCCAAAGCTCCCTGAGATTGGCACAGCAGCCCCTCTGCCTGCCTGCTCCCAGCAGATCTGCATTTGAGTGCCCAGGTGGGCCTGGGCCCCACAGCAGATTTGCCTCCATTTTACAGAGAGCCTCACCTGAAATCAGCCTTGACTTCCTCTTGGCTCTTCCAGGCTGCTTCTGCCCTTTCACCCATTGCAGACAGCCTGGCAAGCTCACATTCCCTGATGTGGATGCCCCTTCAGAAATGGGGTAGGCCCTAGGCCAGAGAGCAGGGAGATCTTCCAATCGTTCCTCTTTTCACGTACGGAAATACCTACATGTGGCGGAGAGGCAGAAAATCACCCCCATGGCTGATCTCAATAGAATTGATCAGCAGCTGGGTGGATCCCTGTAGAACTCTTTGGGTCATCAGGCAAATCTTTCCCTAAGTGAGGGAGCTCAGCTGCCTAAACACCCCCCCCCCCACACTGAAGCAAGGGAGGGAGGTAGGTAGGTAGAAAGGAAGTAAGTCTGTCTGGCCTGCAAAAAATCCCAGTGACCACTAGATGGCAGAAGAGGGAGTTTCTGTATTCTCTCTTTGCTGCTTCTCTAGGAGGCTGGATAGGATTCAGTGCTCTGAGCTGGGGCTGAGAGAGGTGCTTTGCAAAACCAGAACAGAAAAATATGCTACTCGTATCTCCCAGACAGACCACTTGCCAGTTCCTCCTGAAGTCAGAATTAGAAACAGGCATCAGGGAGGACCCACCATAACATCCAGTGACAATACACGCAGTATGTCCCTACCCAGGCCTGATCAGCTGGTCCCTTTTCCATCTTGAAGACAGCCTCTTCTGTGCTACAGATGCGGTAGAGGTTGCCAGGAACGGTCCAGGGTCTAGGCTTGAGGCACCTGCTATCCACCTGTTGCATCTTTTCCCTCTTTCTGGATCCTTCCAGAATTCCCCCCCCCCCCCAGTGGATGCAGTAGTGGAAGATGCAGGAGGAATAGGAGGGGATTGCGACCTTCTCTGTGGAGAAGTACAGAACAAAAGAAAGCTAACCACTGAGTCACCATGACTGCATTTTCTGTAAACTAAGTGAGGGGTGAGCTGGCCTGGTGGAGTAGTTAAAGCGAGGGAATTGTTGGGCCAGGCCCGGGGGGCCGAGGGTGAAGCCCACTCCTCGCTGAGGGAGCTCTGGGAGACGAGGACACTCATATGCCTGTGCAGGATTGTTGTGGAGAAGAGCCGGTGCTGTGGGCGTGGCTCGGAGGAAGGGCTGCCTCTGTTGCAGACACTACTTGTCTGAGCACGTGCAGAGGTTCAGCCCTTACAAAACTCCATCGAAGTTGGAAGAGGCATTTCTTCTCAAAAACAAGGGACCACAATGCAATTGTACTATAAGATGGTCCTTCTGGAGAAAATCAAAATATTTGATTGGAAAAAGGAAGGCTGTTTTTTGTTTGCTGATGTAACATTTCTTTTCCCCCCAGGAGGTGCTTGGTTTGTAATTAATTATTCTCCCTAGCCACCCTATTTGTGAATAAGAAAAGGATTTTTTATTAAGAAGGCAAAATATTGTACATATATTTTGATTTTGCAAAAACATTTTTAAAAGAAATATAATAATGGAAAATAAATATGGACAACATTCTGATGTATTGGTCTCTCTTTTTTTGCACTGCCCTAAACTGGGGCCAGGAAGGAAGAGATGAAAAATTGTAATATATTTAGATACACAATATCCTCAATTCCCAATACTTTTTCTTAGAGAAGTCTCTTAATTTCTCTACCAAACACTTTTTCCTTTGTTGAGAATTTCCCCTCCTTTTACATGGTTTCCTGGGGCATCTGACATCTGAACGCAGCAGATTTGTTACCTATTTTTGATTGTGTGCCATTAAGTCATTTTGACAGATTTTGTCCATGGTCTCCTATTGGGGGGGAGGGGAGGCTGCTGCCAGTGAAGTCTCATCTGTTGGTCCACTTCAAAATACTGCTGCTGCAGTTGGAAGCAGCTTTTAAACGAACCAGCTGCAAAGATAAAATACTAAATATGGAATGAGTAACATATTGATTAAAAAACAATATGTTTTAAATAAATACTTGTATGTTTCTCTGGACAAGTCCAGCTTTCATTTTTATGTAACCTTTCCCCCTCTTTTGGAAGACCACATATTTTTTGCCAGTTTCTTCCTTTCTTCAATTATATTCACCAATTTCCTATTTTTATAAGCAGGAAAGTGCAAAGATTCCTTGGGTTGATGTTTCACTGCAGTTCTGGGCTCTAGTTAATAACGGCTTTCTTCATTTTTTTCCTATTCTAGTGTAACAAACTTGGTCTGCCTTGCATTAATTTCAGAGCTGCACTGCAACCCTTTAAGAGCTGCTGCAACAGGGAGCGTAGCAGCAGCTGCAGAGGCGACCGCTGGCCTGACCGATGTCTCCCATGCACGGAGGTCAAGCTCCATTGCGTCATGTGATGCATTGTGATGTTTTTACCATTACAGAGCCGGGGTGGGTGTGGCCTGAGCGTGACCCCTCCGGCCCTAAAGCCTCACGCTCTGCCCCGCCTGGCTCAGCCCTTTGGGCGGCCTCCCAGCTGCAAAGATACCGCTTTCCCCTCTTCTGCCATTGCGCTGGGATGCTGTCAGAATCCAATTATATTTCATCTTTAATCATCAAACATAGAAAACCCCAATTCTGCCTTCTCTGGATTCTGCCATAAGAGGGAGAGAAGGGGGAGAACAAAGGGGCTTTATGGCCCTCACTTCCTTCAGTATACTTCTAAGGATTTGAATGTGTTTATTGCAACCTCAAAGAGTTTGAATGTAAATAGCACCAAAGAACCTTACCATGACAAAGGGGCTATTTACCTTTCATGTAGTTTATCTGAAGTCTCCATCCAGACGGAAGAAAGGATCAAAGGGGTGGAATTGTGATGCCTGAAACTATCACTGGAAGGGGGGGTGATTGGGTGGGACTGCTGGGGAACCCCTTAAAACCTTGAATGGGAGAGCTTGGACCCCAAGTCCTGTCTAGCACGCCTGCAACCACTTCTTCTTAATAAAGGATTCCTGTTGGAAGAATTATTCCAAGAGTTCTGTCTTCTTAAGATGCAAAGTGGGGGGGGGGTTCTTACAGATGCGGTGCTTCTCCCGCCAAGCGAGCTCCCCATTCCCGCTCCGTCGGGCCCCGCTGGCGGGCCAGGCAGAAGTGATCGCTTCCGGGGTAGGTAAAATGAGGACCCAGATTGTCGGGGGCAATGTAAATATATATATACATTGCTTACTGGTGTACACCGCTTAGAGAGTGCTTGCACTTAAAGCGGTATATAAGTCTCATAAATAAATAAATCGCTGAGGGCTGGCTGTCGGCGGAGCAGGCCTCCGGCTGGACGTTGCGTGGGCCTTGCAAAAGTCACATTAGTGCCCCCCCCTCTCCTTGGCTACTGGAATGCCTGCAGGAGGGAACCCAAAGAAATGGCAACGTATTTGCAGAATACCATCAAATAGCCCAAATCTGCAACAATGAAATTAGGAAAGCCAAGGCCTTGCAACAAGTGTCAAAAATAACTTTTAAATGTTCGCAAAGGGAAAAACGGATCGAGGAAACTACAACTAATCAACCCAACATCAATATCTGAAAGATCCTAGAAAAGGTAAAGAAAAGGTAAAGATCCTAGAAAAGCAACTAATAGGCGAACACCTAAAAGCAAACAAAGTTATAATCAGAAGCTAACATGGATTTGTCCAAAACAGATCATGCCAAACCAATCTTATTTCATTCTTTGACACATTGACTAGTGATTATTGGCCAATGAAATGCTGTGGACACAATATACTTAATTTCAGTAAGGCAAAATTTGACAAAGTAGACCATAACCACCTTCTTGGTAAGACAGAAAAATGTAGGATACACAGCATCACCACCAGATGGATTTGTAACTGGCTGACCAACCACACTCAATGGATAGTCTTCTGTAGCACTATTATATCTACATGGGGGGAAACATGCAGACGGGAATCCCAAGATTCTGTCTTAGGCCCAGTACTTTTTAACATTTTCATAAATGATTTGGATGAAGGGATAGAATGGAAACTCATCAAATTTGTGGGTGACACTAAGCTGGTGGGAATAGCTAACCCTTCAGAAGATAAGACACAAGATACAGAAAGCTCTTGACAGACCTGAACAGTTGGAACCCCTTATCCACAAAATGAAATTCAGTGGTGAGAAAAGTCCTACACTTAGGTAGGAAAAACCAAATGCACAGGTATAGAACAGTGGTACCTGACTAAACAATAGTAATTGGGAGAGGGATCAAGGAGTCCTAGTGGACAGCCACTTAGGTAGGAGCCCGCAGTGTGTCGCAGCTTCCCCCAAAAAACAGCACAGTCCTAAGCTGCATCAACAGAAGTACAGCATCAAGAATATAAGAAGTGCTAATACCGCTTTATACTGCACCAATAAGACCAAACTTGGAATACTGCATACAGTTTTGGTCACAATGATTAAAAAAGAAGCTAAGACCCTAGAAAATATACAGAGTAGAGCAACAAGGATGATAAAGGGTATGGAAATTAATTCTTATGATGAATGGTTGAGGGAGCTAGGTCTGCCTAGCCGAGGGGTCTTCAAACTTGGCCCATTTGAGACTTGTGGATTTCAGCTCTCAGAATTCCAACAATGTTGGCTGAGGAATTCTGGGAGTTGAAGTCCACAAGTCACAAAGGGGCCAAGTTTGAAGGCCCTTGGCCTAGCCCAGGGGTAGGCAACCTTGGCTCTTTTATGACACGTGGACTTCAATTCCCAGAATTCCTGAGCCAGCATGGCTCAGCTTGGAAACCTCTCCTTCCCCTCAGCATGGCTGGCTCAGGAATTCTGGGAGTTGAAGTCCACGAGTCATAAAAGAGCCAAGGTTGCCTACCCCTGATCTAAACTAATAAAGTCTACATTAATTAACATTAATTATGCCTTCATATGTTCCTCTAGGTCAGAAGTAGGCAACCTTGGCTCTTTTATGACACGTGGACTTCAACTCCCAGAATTCCTCAGCCAGCATGGCTCAGCTTGGAAACTCTCCCTTTCCCCTCAGCATGGCTGGCTCAGGAATTCTGGGAGTTGAAGTCCACCAGTCATAAAAGAGCCAAGGTTGCCTATCCCTGGCCTAGCCTATCAAAGGAAGGACATGATAACTGTTTTCGAGGGCCTATCACAGAGACTACGGGCTGGACTATTCTCCAAAGCACCTGAGAGCAGGATATGAAGTAATGGATGGGAAGCGTCTATGGAGATTCTCAGTCATCCAGATCATGTTTGTCCTGTTTCCAAAACGGAAGCAGCTTATTAGATTAGCAGCACAACATATTTAAGGAAAAAACAAGAAAATATAGTTGCCTTTTGAAAAAGCACCTTTGGGATAACAGATGGAAACTTATCAAAGAAAGGCCCTATCTGGAACTAAGGAGAAATTTTCTGGCAATGAGAACTGAGGGCTGAGGGTGCTCCATCATTGGAGGTCTTCAAGAAAAGATTAGACGGCCATTGGACTGGGCTGGGGTAAGAACGCCTGCTTGGTGGGGGGGGCTGTTGGAGGAAGACCTTCGAGGTTCCTTCCAACTCGGCCACTGACGGTTTCGGAGCCGAGGGCTTTGGCGGGCTGGGACGAGAAGCCGTCGGAGCGAGGCGTCGGCGGCCTTGAAACCGGGGCGGGCGACGCTCCATCAGGCAGAGCCAGCAACAGCTGCCGCGGGCGAGCGGGGGCCGCCCCCGCAGTGTCCCGCCCGCCCTCCCAGCCAGTGAGCGAGCGAGCGGCCGAGCGCCGCGCCTCCTGGCCGGCCAGCCGAGGGGGGCGGAGGGACGCTTGCGAGGGTTAGGGCAGGGGTTCTCAACCTTGGCAACTTTAAGACTTGTGGACTTCAACTCCCAGAATTCCTCAGCCAGCAAAGCTGGCTGAGGAATTCTGGGAGTTGAAGTCCACAAGTCTTAAAGTTGCCAAGGTTGAGAACCCCTGGGTTAGGGTTAGGGTTCTTTGCCCTTCTACTTCGCCACACCGCCCCCACTCCGGCCAGGCCCCGCCCCGCCCCGCCCCTCGCCAGCGCCTCATCCGTGGCAGCTCCGCCCGCCCGCCCGTCGCTCCGCCCCTGCCCGGCCGGGGCTTTCGTCGCTCCTCCCCTGCTCGCCAGCTCCTCCTGCTTGGCGGCTCCGGGCACTTCTGACTGGTGGGCGCGGAGGAAAAGTTGCCCGCGGCGGCGGCGACCTGACCGGCGAGGTATCCGACCGGCGGGAAGGCCCTTCTGACGCTCGAGGTCCGCGCTGGCCGGGGGGGCTTCAGGCGCGCCCCATGCCCGTCTGTCGCGGCGGCAGGCGTCTCGAAGCCTGCTCGAAGCCTGCAACGTGGCTCTGGCGCTTCCCGCGTTCTTGCCAAGCAGTTGAGGCGGCCTCGGAACCTCCGCGGAGAGTCCGAGAGGGTGGCCTTTCCGAGCCGCCAAGCGGCGCTTCCCCGGAGCTGGGGAGGATTTGGCGCTGCCCGTCGAGAGCCGCGGAGTCCAGGGTCCAAATTTGGAGCTGGCCTCTTTACCCTCCCTCCGCCCGGGGAGACCGAGCCAATCTGAGCGGCTTCTGCCGCTCCTCCTGCCTGTATGAGGGGGGGGGGACCATATTCTGCTCTCCCCCATAGTGACGGCTAGGCGGTATCTCTTCCAGAGTCTCTCCTTGGGCGCGCAGGCAGGGCCGCCCCTTCTCAGTTGCAGGGGGCGGCGAGGGAGGGGTGGTTGAGCAGCTCCAAGTCTCCCCCTGCAGCTGCTTCTGCTTTCCCCGGGCAGCCTTTTCACTCGAAGGAGAAGCCTCAGCCTGGGAAGCCCCCCCCCCCCGTTACTGGGGTTGTTTTGTTAAGGCCCGGAAGCCGAAGGGTGGCACGCACGGCAGCATTTTGGCAGCTGCACTCACCCAGGGTTGTAATTGCCACATACAGCTCGTGGGTGTGGGTATGTGTGCATCAACTCCATGAATAATTGGAATAATTACAATTCTATGAAAAATCATATAGAATACAATAGAGCTGGAAGGAACCCTGGAGGTCTTCTAGTCCAGACCCTGCTCAAGCAGGAGAGCCTATCCCACCTCAGACAGGTGGCTGTCTAGCCTCTTCTTAAAAATCTCCAGTGATGGAACACCTGGAGGCAGGCTGTTCCACTGGTTAATTGTCCTCATTGTCAGGAAGTTTCTCCTTAATTCCAGGTTGCTTCTCTCTTTGATCAGTTTCCAACCATTGTTTCTTATCCTTCCCTCTGGTGCTTTGGAGAATAACGGGACTTCCTTGGTGGCAGCCCCTCAAATACTGAAACACTGCTATCATCTCTCCCCTATTTCTTCTTTTCTTTAGACTAGCCAAACCCAAGTCCTGCAGCCGTTCTTCGTATGTTTTAATCTCCAGGCCTTGGATTATCTTAGTTGATGGAGCGCCCACGATTTCTGGAGGCCAGCTGTTCCACTGGTTAATTGTCCTCACTGTCAGGAAGTTTCTTCTTAATTCCAGGTTGCTTCTCTCCTTGATCAGTTTCTAACCATTGTTTTTTGTCTTGCCTTCTAGTGCTCTGGAAAATAAGTTGACCCCCTCTGCTTTGTGGCAGCCCCCCAAATACTGTAATACTGCTATCATGTCATCCCTAGTCTTTCTTTTCTCTAGACGGCCACACCCAATTCCTGCAACCATTTTTCATGTTTTTTCCCAAGTCATCTTAGTTGCTCTTCTTTGCACTTTTCCCAAAGTCTCAATATCTTTTTTGTAATGTGGTAACCAAAACTAGATGTAGTATTCCAGGTATGGCCTTACTAAGGATTTATAAACTGGTACTAATACTTCATGTGATTTTGATTCTATGCCTCTGTTCATACAACAAAGGATTCTGTTAGCTTTTTTGGCTGCCACCACACACTACTGACTCATTTTAAATGATCATCCACTAGGACTCCAAGTTGCCTCTCATAGTTGCTGTTTCTGAGCCAAGTTTCAGCTAATCTGTACTTGTACCTTTGGTTTTTCCTGCCTAAGTATAAAATCTTGCTTTTCTCCACACTGAATTTCATTTTGTTGGAGATGGCCCATTGTTCAAGTCTGTCAAGATCTTTTTGGATCCTAAGCTTGTCTTCTGGGGTGTTGACTTTTTCTGCCAGCTTAGTGTTGTCTGCAGATTTTGTAAGTTCCCCTTCTATTCCCTCATCTGTCATTTAAGAAGATATTGAAGAGGACTAGGCCTAAGAAAGAACCTTGTGGTTCCCCACTGCTTATTTCCCTCCATGTAGATAAAGTACCATTAAGAACTACTCATTGAATATGGTTTGTCAGTCAGTTACAAATCCATCTGATGGTGATGCTATCTATCCTACATTTTTCTAGTTTACCCAGAAATAGGTTGTGATCTATTTTGATCACAATGTGATCTACTTTGTCGAATGCCTTGCTGAAGTCTAAGTATACTATGTCAAGCATTTCACTTGTCTACTAATTTACTGACTCTGTCAAAGAATGAAGTAAGATTGGTTTGGCATGATCTTTTTTTAACAAACCCATGCTGGCTACTAGTTATAACTTTATTTGTTTCTAGATGTTCACAGATCTATTTTTTTTTATTATCGTATATGCCGGCGTATTAGGCGACCCGACGTATAAGACGCCCCCCGTCTTTATCACCGAGCCGCATTCCTAGAACGTCGTCTTATACGCCGGAAACTACCAGTATTTCCGGCGTATAAGATGCTCGGCGTATAAGACGACCCCCATCTTTGATGCCGAGTTTAGCGCTTCCGGAAGTCGTCTTATACGCCGGCATATACGGTATTTTATTTATTATTTTATTATTTTTTTCCAGTATCTTCCCAGGTATTGATGTTAGACTGATTGTTCTGTAGTTTCCTGGGTCTGTCCCCCCCCCCTTTTTTAAGATGGGAACCACATCTTTCCCACTCCTCTGGTAGATCCCCGATGTTACAGGATTTTTGAAAGGCACGGTACAGTGGTTCTGAGATGACACCTGCCAGCTCCTTCAGAACTCGGGTGGTCCCAGTGATTTATATTCATCCAGGTCAGACAGTTGTGCTGTCACCATTTTCTTGTTTATTTTAATTTTTATTTTGAGCCTGTCTTTTACAGTTATGTTTTTGATATTAGTTGGCTTTAGTTTCTTTTTGCATAAAGAATGATGCAAAAAAGGAATTAAGCAAGTCTGCTTTCTCTCTATTGCCTGTTACTTTCTTGCCATCTTCTCTCTTTAGTGGACCGACTGTTTCCTTGACTTTTTTCTTATTTATATGTTGAAAGAAACTTTTTTTAAAATTATCTTTGACTTTTGTTTCAAGTCTTTGTTTATTCTGAGCCTTGAGTTTCCTGACTTCATCTTTGCAGATTCGGGCTATCTGCTGATATTCTGCCTGAGTTATAGGTCCCTCTTTCCATTTTTTGTACTTATCCTTTTTGTCTTTCACTTTATCAGACAGATCTTTGTGCAACCATGCTAGTTTCTTCTTGGATTTCTTGTTTTTATTTTTCAGTAGTATTGTGTTGGACTGGGCTTTTATGATCATATTTTTCAGAGTTTCCCAAGCTTCTTGTTTTCCCCTTTAGGATTTTTATCCATGGAACTTTTCTTAGGCTTTCTCTGAGTTGTTAAAATCAGCTCTTTTAAAGATTAAGACACTGGAAGGCTTTCATCCATGTTATTGGGTATTTCTGTAGAGGTGTAGTGATTTCTTGCATGCAATGCAACTCCTCTTTTGTTGGGTCTGTATCTTTTGAACAATTTATGCCCTAGCAGTATGTTCTGATCGTGGGTTCCATCCCACCACTAATAGCAACAATGTCATACCTGCCCTCATGTAGCAGGACTTCAAGTTCTCCCTCTTTGTTCCCCAAACTCTGAGCATTGAGGTATAGGCATCTTGAGCTCTTTATGGCTGCATTTGCTTCCTACATCTCCTGATTTATACCCGATTACTCTTCCTTCTCACTATTGCCTTCTTCATTGTCTGATTTGTTGTTCTGGGGTTTATGCTTGGGGTTTGGTTTTAAAGATTACTCACCCTCCCCTTTCTCATTTAAAGCTCTTCAGATAATCTGAGGCAGTTATTTCCAAACACCACCACCACCACCACCTCCTTTCCTCTTGCCTTGTGCTGTTCCAGTTGTTTCTGCCCCCACTTTATCAGGCTGAGGCAGAGAGGTCCTGCTTTGCTCATTTGGATTATGTGGGGAAGAAGATTTCTTCTGGGTGCCTGTCATCAATGTCTTCCTCTCTCTTCAGATCGCCATGGCCCACCTGAGGTGTGTGCTCCAAGCAGCAGCAGGTCTACAATTACGTAATTCTAGACGAAGGCTACAGTTCTTCAGTAGCGGTGCTGGACTGACTATAGAGAAGAATGTCCCATATCAGAAGACACTGAAGGAAGAGGGCCACTCCTCCCGCGAAGGGCCCACAAAGCCCCTTCCTACCTCTGCAGATGTGGTGGTGGTAGGTGGTGGTAGCCTTGGATGCCAGACAATCTACCATCTTGCCAAGAAGGGCATGACCAATGTGGTTTTGCTTGAAAGGGATCGTTTGACCTCAGGGACCACTTGGCATACTGCAGGTAAAGAAGGGAGCTGCTGGTGGGAAGGTCCTCTTTGGGTGATTATGTCAGTGGCTGTCATGGTGTATTCACCATCATTTGCGTAATCCAAGCTATTGGTCAGGATGGGGTCAGAAAGCAGGCTCTTCTTAGCAGTTGATCAGCTCCTCAAACCTTAAATGTTTTCCTTAGTGATTAAGCTGGTGGTTCATCCCTGCAGCTGCTGCCTTTGATCTGGCATCTATGTAAAAAGGCCGGCAGTTTACAAAATCGCCAGGCCAGAGAATGTTCCCATCATAAATAAAGTCATGGCTCACCAGAGGGACTGACACCAGTGTTCTCAAAGAGAAAATTCAATAAAAATGTTAAATTACTGCTTTAAAAACATTGTTAAATATTATGAAATCATTTCAATGGGACCTTGTTGTGTTATAAAATACAGCCTTTTCAAAAATGGATAAATTGTACATTTTTTAAACAGACCTTGATGTCCAGAACAATACTACAGTTCCAATTTCTCTGCATTTGTCAGGGCCCACTTCAAAACCTCATCCCAAGAAAGCAGGATTCTTGGAACTTTCATCCCAAAAGGAACTTTTATTAGGAGAAGCTGATAGCAGGCATAGAAGGCAGGATCTGAGGGTTTCCCGCTCAGATCAATAGGTTAAAAGAGTCCCAAGCAAACCCCATCCCAATAGTCCATCTGGTCAGTTTGAATGAGCCAATCCACTGGTGTTAAGTCCGCTGTGGGAACAGAGCTGATAGCGGGTCAGTTCCCATGATTGTGAAGATGATGTTGGGTCTTCACACCTTCCCTTCCACAGCAAGAGATAATCCAGATGTCCGGAGGCACATTCCTTTCTCACCCTAGGTTGACATCAAGGGAGAGACAGTTCAAAGAGTAAGTATGTAGAAACAGCGGAACAGATACATTGTAGCAAAGCAGAAACACCACAGAGCCTTCCCCCCTCCCCCTCAGGAGAATGGCAGAACCCACAGAAAGAAATGGAAAGAATTGAAATAGATCCCCCTCCCCAGGAGAGTAATGGGTTCTGACATCCTGCCCCGCTTAGAAAAAAGAGAGATCCATCTGTAGAAAATAAAACAGAAAAAGGGGGAGACAAAGATTAGTCTGGTTTATCTGGATATGCAGCATGAAACTAAGTAATTTGGGGGCTCTGACATGACATTTCTGAACCCACTCATTTTGGGAAGGAGGCAGATATTTCCATGCTACTAGATATTGGGTGGAACTATGGTGTTTTCTGGAATCTAGAATTTCTTTTATTTCAAAATGGTGTTCACCTTCTACCATGACTGGAGGAGGTGAAGGAGCTACACCTGGCCTTAAGGGCAATTGCAGTTTGTGTTTTAAAAGACTGCAGTGGAAAATTGGGTGAACCTGTCTGAGTATCTTTGGGAACTCCAATTCTACCGTGATGATTCTTACTGGGGAACTTGGAAAATAATATCGGATATTGGAATGGAGAGGGAAGAACCTGCGATGGAGAGGGAAGCCTCCCATTGAGCAGATCCCTGCAAATACTCCAACTCCGAATCCTCGAGCTCATTGAAAGAGGAAGTGGTCGCAGAATGCCGCCACAAGCCCAGGTGGTCAATGGGTGTCGGGAAGAAGGAGGACTGGGAGAAAAAGACCAGGAAGGTGACCCTCAGATGAGGTAGTCATCAACCAGGTTGGAAAGTTGAGATGGAGAGGTCACTCCATCTTAGCGAAGACGAGGAGGATCGGCCACTACTTTCCAGCCGGTTGCTGGAACAAGCAATCGACATGATGAAGATAGCCCTTGACTCCATGAGAGTAGAGAAGGTTGACCTGTGCTGGGGCACCATCAGCCTGGGTTCCACAGAAGGGACAGATGAAGGAGGGGCTGAGCCAGCAGTCTTGGAATCCTCTGAAAGCAACATCGAAACCACAGCTGTCACTGTCGCTGCTGCCACCCCTCACCAAGCAGCAACCGCAGACAGAGATGGGAGACGACACAAATGAAAGAAGAGACATTGATTCATCCAGAAGTTCCTGCTGCTGGATGTGAAGTACTGCAGGGAGCCACGGCACCTGGGATTTTTCCTGACCCAGTTGCTAAACTACATGGAGGAATATGATCGCAACATCCCAAGCGACCAGGCCAGGGTGCACATTGTGCAAGCAGCCCTAGATGGCACCACAGCGGACTGGATCGTAGAACTCCATGATGCAGACACACCAGAGCTGCAAAACTTCAATCAATTCATGGTAGCCCTTAGGCATCATTTCAAAGATCCCCTTGCTGACCGGAAAGCACAGGAGCGAATAAAGACAGTGAAGCAGGGCTTGCGACCCGTGGCGGAATACATCCAGGAGTTCCAAGCCCTGACTAGCAAACTGAATTGACCAGAAAATGTCCTGGTCAGCTACTTCAAAGACGGACTAAACTATGACCTGTATGATGCCTGCATCCCCTGAGGAGACCCCTACCGGCTACAGGACTGGTAGGTCCTGGCCGCAGAGATCGACCTAGCCAAGAGGCAGCGACGAGGGGGGGAGATCGTGAGGAAAATCACCATCAGAGCCAGCTCGCGAGCCATCGAAGCAAGCACCAGCAGCCAAAAGAACCTTAGAATGCTTCAAATGTGGGAAAGAGGGACCACCACGCAGCTGAATGCCGCACATATACCCCTGTACGGAAACCTGATCGAGCCCCAGCCGGAAAACCCAGGAAAACTCCAGCAAAGCCGAAGGAGATGGCCATGAAGAGCACAGAAGTCGTCAAGTTCCCTGCCTCACCTAAATGAGGGAAGGGAACTCTGACCAACCCAGGGGGAACATCCAACTCATTGGACAACAACTTACCCCTGGTAAGTGGGCCTATTGCACCCCTCACCAGGACCATAGCACTGTTAGCCCCTGGCATGCCCGAGAAAATGAGATCAGGGCATTAATTGACTCCGGCTGCACCCACTGCCTCATAAGCCGAACCTTAGTGGGGAATTTGGGGATCCCGGGGAGAAGGCTGAAGAAACCGATCTCATTCGGTCAATTAAATGGGTCCATAGTAGGGGGGATGCCAACCACCCTAGCCACACTGGCTATCCAACTCACCCTAGGGGACCACATAGAGACTATAACATTTGTGGCGACCCCTGGCATGGAATGCCCCCTTATCCTGGGCATGGCATGGCTAGCAAAATGGAACTCGCAGGTAGACTGGAGAATGGCAGAGCTCAGGTTCCCAAAAGGAACCAGCCAGGGCACCAGCCAAACCCCAATCCGGGAGAAACTCGAAAAAGCTGCAGTAGGGGAGGAAAAGGAACTGCCAGAAATTCCTGAGGAATATAGAGACCTAGCTGAAGTATTCAGTGAGGAAAGGTCCGATGAACTACCCCCCCCCCACCGGCCCACGGACTGTTCCATAGAAATCCAGCCTGATGCGAAACTCCCCAAGCCCAAAATGTATTCCATGAGCCCACAGGAGCTGGAGGAGATGCAGAAGTTCATAGACAAAAATTTAGAGAGGGGTTTTATCTAACCGGCAAAACCAAAAACCGCTGCACTGGTGTTCCGGGAGAAGAAAGGCGGGACCCTCTGCCTCTGCATTGATTATACAGCCCTGAACGTAGTGAGCGAGAGCAGTCTACCCTCTCCCTCTCATAAAGAATATGCTGTCCCACCTGTCGAAAGGAAAAAATCTTCTCAAAACTAATTTGAGAGAAGCCTATTACAGGATTAGTATAAAGGAGGGGGATGAATGGAAGACGGCTTTCAATTGCCCCTTAGTATGTTATCAATTTTGGGTTCTACCTTTTGGGTTGCAAGGAGCACCCACAGTGTTCATGCAATTAATAAACGACATACTGTGGGAGCATCTATACAAAGGGTGTGTGATGACCCAGGGCCCCAAATGGAGGCAAAGCAATTAGCTGGTCAGAATAATTGTCTTTGTAAGCCAGTGGTTCTCAACCTTTCTAATGCCGCGACCCCATAATACAGTTCCCCATGTTGTGGTGACCCCCAACCACTTATACATCATTGGGTGCCAGGAGCGTGGCCAAAGAAAAGGGAGGAAAAATGGCGACAGCCTTGTTTGGCGACCCCCGTGAAATGGTCGTTCGACCCCAAATGGGGTCCCGACCCACAGGTGGAGAACCACTGTTGTAAGCACTGCCAACATTCACCCAACAGCCCCCACATATGCTGGCACAAGTTCAATAAAACAGTCAACGGAGTTCAACAGTTCTTTAAAGTAAAACAGATAACAATCAAAGTATGATCTTTTCAACGGCCAGCTTGCCTGTAATCTGCAAACTGCAAAACTGAAGACAGCAAGGAAAACTCAGCAGGAAACAAACTTGATCCAAAATACAAAGAGTCCAAGTACAAGAGCTCACATCACAAGAGTTCACGTTTGTTCCCGGCAAATGCCCCACCCCACAGCGTCTCCTTAAATACCTACTCCCCAGGTGTGCCTTGTGAAGTGGGGCATGATGCTCTCCTCCCAAGCAAGTGAGCCTGCCTCCGTTGTTCCCTCCTCCTCTATGCTCTCCTTGCTCTGGGATCTGGTGGGGAGGGGCCTTGCTCCTCGCCTGAGCTCTGCCTTCCCTGTTCCAAGCTTGAAGGGCCCTGGCCTGCTTCAGCCTATTCCTCCCCAGAGTCCTCCGAAGCTACAGATACCCCCTTCTGGGCCTCAATAGGGAATTCCATGTCGTCCTCAGAGTCAGGCTCGGACGGAGGCATGACAGGGTGCTTGTTTACCTAGATGACATCTTGATACTTACTGAAACCATGGAAGAGCATGTAAAGCTAGTCAGACCCGTCCTGAAAAAACTCCAGGCAGCTCGCCTTTATGCCAAGCTATCTAAATGCGAATGTCAACGGTGCTAACATCAGATGTTCTTGCTTTGACAACAGATGAAAATGCAGCCATTTTCTCTATGCTTTTAGAATTAGTTGATGCTGGGAGGGGGAATAGGGATGAGAGTCCAGCTAGTCATAACAATAATAACTTGGCTGTGGGAACCCAAGG